GAAGGATGAGAACTTGTATTGGATTTGGACTATTAAGGATTTGATCCTTAACTCACAGTTATACGTATGCTGGCAGTCATAAATCTACATGTAAAAAGCCTTTTTGACTTTCAAGTGGGAAGAGGCGCAAACAGGGTTCAACATCTCATTTGATCTTCACTTGCTTCCTACATGTTTCCACTGTTCACAAAAGTGGCAGCAGTATTCCTAAGAGGATAGATAGGGCCTTCTGTTTTACCCATAACTCAGCTGTTGGTTATTGTCAGGAACAGAGCTAGTAGAATTTGTAAAAAAATAAAATAATAATAATACTGTGCAGATAATAAAAGTTTGGCGCTTTTGGAAAAACATCTATATTGAACAGATCAAATGCATATGAAACCATAAAGGCACATATTCTATAAAAAGAATTCCAAAAAAAATGTTTTGATTCAGGTTTTAAAGAAATACCCAAAGGAGAAACTAAAAAGATAGGCTTTGGCCAATGGCTTTAATGATTTAGATACAACACTATTACTGTATTCCATCTAGAACAGCCATATTCAGACCTAGAGCTTACTACAAGCTGTAGTACCTAGAGCTTACTACAACCTCTACCTAGAGCTTACTGCAAGCTGTAATTTTATCCTGGGAACTGTAATGAAGCTGAGGGGACAGAGGAACAAATAGTCCCTTAGGAGAGACCATTTCAGGCTTTTTGCCTTGGTATCAAGAGGCTCTCCATCTGATGGCTATGTCTAAAGAGAGTGCAAAGCTTTAACCCTGGCTAGGAAAAAGCAGTGCACACTCAAGATAAAAATAAATCTATCATGACTACCAATTTGTGATTTAAAAAATATATATTTCAGCATTAACACGAAGCTGAACTGTGGAAGATGGTTGGGTCCTGAAAAACTAATTTTAGAAGCCTTCATATTAAATTTTATAGCTTTCTTTACTACATATTATCCTTGGTTTTGGACAAAACTTGTATCCTAAAATAGCTCACATCAGTATTTTTTAAAAACCCCATACATCTTGCCCTCTGGCTTAGAATCTAAAAAGGTAATACAGACAAGGGAGTAGAACTGGAAGGAAATGAGAAAGTTCCTCCAGGCTAGAAACAGGTGTTAAAAGATATACAAGAGTATTCATGTTGTTCTGCTAGCTTGAGCTTCCCTTCCAGCTCACTTGAATAGTGACTGTTTCAGATACGGAACAATGCCCTTCCTTCCTTCCTTCTTTGTTATGGCTGAAGTTTGTGTTATAACAGGGCTCTCCAACTTCTTTGAATCTGGAGCCCATTTGGAATGTTAAAAGCATCTTCTCTTTTAAACTGGCTGGTGTGAAAGGAGGATGTGTCCATTCACAAAAACAATTGCAATAGGTCAAACTAGTCACAAAGCATTAATGAACAATAATGTTCACAATCATTTTTTTCTCCTGCTGGGAAAGTTAATTAACTTCTAAACAAAGCACTGGATTGCTGTCACTTGCCCACTCTATTTTTTTAAAATAAAACATTTGGATTCTGTCTGTACGCTGGCTAGATGCATTCCTAGATTTTTTTAAATATAGTCTTGAATTATCTTGGACCTTGCAGATTCCAGCTTCTACTTTTTACAATGCTTATTTATATATAAATATGAACATATTTAGTGAATCTTCTCAGTCCCTCCCTCCTCCAGATGACCAGACCTGTAGGTGGGTGGGTGAAATAATTTAAACATACCTTCATATCTGGAGCAGGGAGATAGCAATTCTAGATTGTAACATGGCTAGTCTGGATTTCCATATAGATAACAGGATCTTGTGACCTTAATCAGAGCTTATTCTGATACTGGAACTAGCTTTTGGTTTGAATCATTGTGTTGACTGCATCTGTTAACTATAAAGGCATTTTCCAATCAAATTTGACTCCTGTTGATTAGTTTTGTAGCAATTATTTTCCACTGGTGCTTTTGGGAATTTCTTAAAAACTCCCTGGCCTAACCTAGTTTTCCAAGTGTTAACTAGCTCTGGTTGGTCTTGTTTGGCTTTTTTTTCTTTTTCTTTCTGAATATTTATTTATTTTATTCAGAGAGTTAAGGTAAAATACAAACTCCCCCCCAAAAAGATTTTTTTAAAACAAATATATTATCCTCCCTCAGTTGAATACTAGATGTATTGCAACAATATTGGTTTCCTACTCCCTTGCAAAACAGGTCTAAAACCTATAAACTTCCATATCTACTTGCTATCAGTTTGACCTGCCATCCATCTCCTATATAAATACAAAGTTGTTAACAGGTGAACCAACAACAAAGTTAAACTTCAAACCCTCTGTTAACAATCTTTTCTTGTATTGAACTTGAAGAAACACTATAGTGGCTTATCTACTTTAAATCACCACAGTAATGATCTCTGATCAGTCCAGGATTAAATATTGTTTAATTCTTAATAGAATAATTTTTCCTTAAGATTTTGGTTGAGAATTTTCCTAACAATTGTATCTTATACCCCAGAATCATAAATCTCTATTGTCAATCCATATTCCCCAAAAAGTCCAGTCCAAATTGTTTACTAGTTATAAGAAGACCATTTCCCAGTCACCATTACCTTTAAGTTGATGCATTGTAGACATAAACAGTTTCTTTCAAAGTCAGGGGAGTAGCCACAGAAAATATTTCTCACAATAAAGAAAAGTAAAGAAAAAAGGAAAATTTCCATCAATTTTTTTTAAAAAAATTAATATGTGTTAGGTTTTTAATGAACTTTTAAAAATGCCTTTGTTTTGTGCTTTTTTCTTTCTTTCTTTTTAAATTGGATTTTACTTTTTTTGTATAAAACAAAAATAGATTTTAAAAAATTAAGACCAGAGCTTTTTAAAAGATAAGAAAATGAGAAATCCCTGCAGTGAAAACCCAATGTGAATGTAAATCCAAACAAGTCACTTTCACTACCCAGAAAATCTCCATCACCTTCCATATAGAGAAAACTAAAGTCAGAATGGCAGACTAAAATAGTGAAAAATCTTTTAAAATTCTATGTTAAAAATGGCAAGGGATTGGAGTAAATCAGCATTCAGCCAGTCAATTAATTTTTAAAAGAAAGATTGAGATAAAAATTCAAAATGTGCAGGCATGCTTTAAAAAAAAAACAGCTGAAAGGAAAGTTGGGACATCTGATTTTCCAATGGCTCCTTCTGGGAATTGTGATCCTCAAGATTCTTCTTCCTGGGTGAGTCCAGTCATCCATGTGTTGGGTAGTTCCTAACTGTTCCCATTCAGATGTAGGGAGCAGGCTACCAAAGAACCCATATTGACAGCAAATTCAGCTGTTTGTTGGCAAGAGGAACAGATCTCCCTACTGCTCAGCATGCCAACTTGGGGGAAGTTTTATTTGGCTTTTTCAAAACATACCAGGACGTCTTAAGTATTGCTACTTGGTATATTACTCAAATTAACTGTACACTATTAAATCAGTTTTAAGGTCTCTTGCATTCAAAAGCATTGGGTAAATCCAGAAAATGATTTAATTCAGTAACCAGATTAATTGCATTGGTTCATTAATAAAGAATAAATGTAATTCAAGGCTAAGCAGTTGAGTTCTTGATTTTCTCTGAGCTTGATTATTTGCAAATTTATATACTGGGTTGTTGTCCTGCAGTAACATCAACAACCTAATCAAGGCTGTAATCAATACAATACATACATGCATGCATGCATTCATGCATACATACATGCATACATTGACAGTCTTGGTTGGGGTGGCCTTGATTAGGTTGTTGATGTTACTGCAGGACAACCACCCAGTAAAAGAACACCAAGAACCCAATAATTGTATTGTCTCAACACAGCCAAATAATGGCATTATGGAAGATCCAGGCACTCAGGTGTAGTCTTAAGATCCTGTCTCTTAGGGGACATGCAGAAAGTAACTGGCCACATTTTGTTCCGTTCAAAGCAGGTTTAATCTTCTCTACCAAGTATGATAACAGGTGTAGTGTTTTACATTCCCATTCAGAATTAAATGTCATCGTTGCTGGCTTGATGTGTACCAGTAAGAGGTATACTCTATCAAGGAAAACAAAGGAGCCTTAAAAGCCACAAAAACTCAGCCCAACCTACTTCACGGGCCAATTAAGAGAGAACACTGAATGCTGTCTTTAACATCTGCACAAAAGGGTGGGATATAAATCTAATACCAAGTAAATTCCTTTTCTCGCTCAGGCACTTAAAATTTGCCTAGTTCTGCCACATCATTGCTAAAAGGCCACCCTGGAGGCTTCATGATGTACTTCTACCAGGTTTTCCTACTAGAATGCTTTGAAGTCCACGCTTCTGTCGTATCTTGGTGGTCTCCCAAATCCAACTTCCAAATCCAGCAAAAATCAACTTCAATGCTGTTGACTGCTGTGACATTTATGTATAAGGATAATAGATTAAATGGCAAGAACAAGATAATGAAGAGGCTTCACAGCTAATGATTCAGAAACAGTCCTGCTACGTGAGGGATGCACTCTCTGACATTTTCAGATGTTCAAAGCACTTTATTGACTGCTAGGCAGGTATTAGAGCATCTAATGATCTCTAGTCAGATCTCTCACTCATTGCACAGATCTGTTTTGAAGACACACAGCCTTGAAATCCTGTAATGGAAAGCTGCATTCTACTGTATAAATGTTTATCAGCAAGGTTTCCCAATTTTGAATTGAATCCTGTATCTTACACTTTAAAATAGGTTTGTTTGTTGTTACTTTTTGAAGCTGGATATCCAACCTGGTGTCTTGCTGTGACAGAAATCTATGTTCTATATTATGCCATATGAGTAAGTAAATTTCTTTTTTTTAATATAGTTCTCTCGTTCTCTCTCTCTCCCTTTCTCCCTCTCTCTCTTTTTGGAGATGACAGAGGATGGGTTTGACTTTCTGTATGCAAATACTAATTGACTGTCAATATACTAATTGACATTCTTACAATCTTTTCCACTGATCTCTTGATTTTGCGTCCATAAAAAAAATAGAGCAATATGCATGGCTTTCCAGACAGTCTCTTTCCAAATACTGACCTAGACTACTATTTGGTCCTTTGAAGAACATCTTTTCACTATGTTTTGAGACTCATGTTTCTCCTTGGGCACCATCTTTCTGTATGGATGATGATGGTGATGATATAGTCTTCCATGCTCTTCCTGTCTGATGGCCTGTTCTACCGGGTTATAAAATTATTTTCAATATGGTAATAGAAATCAAAAGCATATAGTCTTCCACTGAAAAAAAATCAGATCACTCTTCTTACTAATCCATGATGTCATCTTTTTTGAGATAATATTCCTTCTTTCATTGCCTGTTAGCTTCCCTAAGCAGAAAAATTTTCATGACCTTCTCCCTCCCTCCTTCCCCCCCCCTCCCCTGTATATACACACAGACACATAGATACATATATTTTTCCTAGTGCTTTATTAGAAACAGGAGCAGAGCAGCTAATTCCACGTCCAAACATTAGGTGTCTTATTCAGTAACCCTAGCCCCATCTGTATTCACATAAGGGCTAGGTAGTTTTGTTTTGTACAGAAAGCAATGGTTATTTGCCATACAGATGTTGCATATTTTCTGTCCTTTTCTGGCCATTGAGTAAAATCCTGGGATCCCCCTACTGCTGCCTATTGAATTCTCCTTCCATCTTTTCTTTATTAACATAACTAAAAGCTAAAACAAGGCCTGCTTTCCCAAGATGAGAAAACAATTACAGTTTAATGGAACTGGAGGGAAAAAAAAGACTTCACCCCAATTTGGGGTTGACATCCACCTGCCAAACTTGAAGGAACTGCCTATTGACGGAACATTAGTTTTTAAAGAGGGAACACAATTTGGGAGGAAAATTGCAAAACCCAGCTAGATACAGTAAGAGGGCAGGCGGGGGGAGGGTGGGCAAGGGGGCTTGTGGTGAAGCCTTTTCATTTTGTGCCTCTGTATATTCATGCTCCACTGTGTTTACTAAGTAATTGTAGACTTGCTGGGGTCCCCAGTGGGAAATACGTTTCTGATTTCAGACATCGACTTTTGTGCATTGCTTCTTAGTAGGGGAGGTCTCTGGCCCCTTGCTGTTCCAATTTGTTTGCATCTGTGTTATTTCAAGTTAACATAAATGTGATGGGCATGTAACCTGCGTCACCAACTGTTGGAAGCAATAATAGCTTTTCTTCTCATGCTTTGTAAAGCTGTTGTCATATCTCAGCCACAGGCAGTCAAACCTCTCTCTGTGGGCTTTGCAGTACTTTGACATAAAGTGTGCCGAGGCTGTATTATAGCCTGGGGAGGAGGGGGATAATGATGGGAAAAATCCCCTCAAGCCTCTTTCATTTGAGGTCAATAATAAAACTGGTGCCTGTTTTAGTAGTATTCACAGATAAGCCAAAATTTGCCCTTTCAAGAACCAAGCAAGGAAAGGAAAAAAGTTTATTATGCAGGGTCTGTTCAGGAATGGAACAGAAGATTAGCAGGTCTTAAATAGCTATCCTGGGGCCAAATTATGACAACGGGACCTCGACTAGCAGCAACTGCTCTACCCTTTGATCATTTAACTAAGCTTTTCATTGTAGCTGACTAGATATTCATTTTCTGCATGATTGGGCCAGGAATTGAGGAAGAAGTAGTGCAATTCACAACTCCTTCCCCAAATGAATTGTTAGAGGATTTCTTTTTTTTTTCTCCAAAAGAAAAAAAAGCAATAGGAGAAAGTTGTACATTACGACGACTAGTCTTGTATAATAGTAATATTTCTGCCTGACCAGAAAAAGAAAGTATACACATGCTATTGTAAGCAGGGCACTACTTAAGAGTTAAGACTTACAATTACCATGTAAGTTCCAATGTACTTTTAAATAAAAATCATGTTTATGTTCATGATTCATGAGTCAGGAGAGCTTGACGTGAGATTATTTTCAGGGCTGTGGTGGCGCAGTGGTTAGAATGCAGTATTGCAGGCTAATTCTGCCGACTGCCAGCAGTTTGATTCTCAACGGCTCAAGGTTGACTCAGCCTTCCATCCTTCTGAGATCGGTAAAATGAGGACCCAGATTGTTGGGGGCAATATGCTTAGAGAGAGAGCTGTTAAACCCCATGAAGCTGTCTCAGTGCTATTGCTTGATCTCTGAGTCTAAAGAAGACAAAAGTGTTTCATAATCTGAACTGGTCAAATAAGCTTCATGAGATTATGGAAGCAATTACACGAGTGACATCAGGTTTGTAGAATATAAGGTAGAATATTTTTTCCACAACTCTAATCACATGAACTCATAGAAAGTTCCATCACTCCCAGATCTGATGATTATCTTCTCTTATTTTAGTTCTTATAAACAGTAGACAAATTAAGAGTATGCTTTCAAATTTGAGGTGAGGTCAGGGGGGGAATTGGATATTTGTTCTATCGTTGATGCTACTTCCATACATGCCGCTTCTGAATAACCTTTGGCTAAGAAGTAATTTCTTAGCATTATGTTTATCATGTATTTAAAATGAGCCATCAGTTAAAACCAAGCAGGTCTGTATTTTATTAGGGTCTGTATCAGGCCTGTATCAAGAAGTTCAGTATTACAAACTTTAAAAAAATAAAATTAAATTTGAAACTAAATACATCTTTAACATTTATTTCTCCCTCAATTGGCAGAAAAGGCTGTTCATCAACAGTTCTGAATTCTGCTGCAGTTGTAATATCAGCTAAATCCCATCTTTTATGCTGCAGTTAATAAACAGAAGGGTATTTTTATAGCAAGGTATCTAGATAGAATAAACCAGGTCTCCTTAACTTTGCCTCGCATGAACAGTGGTTCTTATCATCTTCCTTTCAGGAGAGAGAATAGCACACCTACCTGTTGGCCTGCAGGCCTGATTTTCAAGCTTGCTCCCCTACCTTGTAACCCCAAATCCTTGGTTTAGGCTTCTCCCTCTTCAGTAAGCTAAGGAGAGCAGGGCGTGTGACTTTGGCAGGATAAAGTCTAGAATTTCTGCAGGAATTTGAGGACGAGGTCCTGCAGCTTCACCCTAAGTGACTCATCATTCTCACACATGATGTGCGTCGAATCTTCTTCAATGCGGATTAGAGTTTCCACATCCTGGAATAGCACCAGATGTCCTTTCGGGGTATCTTCCACTTTGATGTCGCTGAAGCCATGCTGTAGCCACCATGGGCAAGGGGAAAAAAAAAACAATCCGCCCAAAATAGGAGCTATTTAAAACCTCTATCTGATAAGCATCTGGTTAATATTTGTCTGTGCCATATGTTCTTTAGGAATATAAGTTATACCTTTATATATGTATTAGACAAATCACGTTTCTTTTTCTTTGTCCTACTTGCTGAGTCCAAGAATTCAGTATTCTCTATCACAGCCTTATCAATTTTACATCCTTCAAGTGTGCTAGCAAAGAACTCAACTATTTTGTTGCTTTTCCTGGTTGGCACATGGCTGGCTAGAAGATTTGGCACTTGCAGTCCAATATATCTGGAAGATGGGGTGGCACCACACTGGGAAAGGCTGCTTTTATTATTTTTTTAAAGGAGCAGAACCCTGGGTAATGCTATGCAAACTGATGTGGTTCGATACTCAATGGCTCCTGCTCAATTATGTGAGACAAGGTAAGCAACGAATACGTTAAAATTGCCTCTTTCTTTTAGAAATGAGGCTCAGAAAGGATAAGGTTAATAAACCATGACCTTCATGGCACTGATGGAATTCTTAGTAGAGTAGTGAAATAAACGCTTTAAAAATAAACGCTGATCATAGGACCGGCTACTTAGCATTAGATGCTTAGCCAATCTACCAATCTTTCTCTATTAGTATTCCCTTTTACCTTTTCCAGAGTCTGTACCAGTTGGTCTACTGGGATAGAACCACTTAGGAGAGGTTTGGTAGGCTTGAGTTCCGGCACATCATCTGTTACTCTCTTCCTCTTTTTGCCAGGCTGAGGCTGGGGAAGTTTTGGTGGGAGCTACCAATAAAAGATTGCAGATGAAAAAGATAAAGAGCGTGTACGTAGCTAAAGCTCTACATTAGGGGTGTCAAACTCGCGCCATCATGGCGGTATCACGTGATGTATCAGGACTTTAAACCGGGCGGGGGGGGCAACGTGTGACACATCTGGCCCGCAGGCCATGAGTTTGACACCCCTGCTCAACATGAAAGCCTCAATATTCTGCATGTCTCAAGCGGCCAGGGAATAGATACCTTCAACTCTTCAGTCAATGCAGCCAACCAAGCACAGGGGAATCAACCTCTTATGGGTGGTCAAGTCATTTAATCAAGATGGCAATGTCCATCAAGTATAATCTATAGAGGTCTTAAGGCATAAGTATTTATGGGCCATATAAAAACAAGCAGTGGGCAAGATTTGGCTCATACATATTGTTTCCTTCTCCTTGTCTTCCTTTTGTTTTTCCTTCTTTCCCGCTGCCTATTCTTTCTCTTAATCCTCCCTACACCATTCTGTCCAATCTGTGTTATCTTTCTTTCAAAGAAGCATCCAGTTAATTATTGACTTGTTTTAATTGAATATGAGCAATCCACTGCTTCATTATACACTACCATTGTTTTAAAGTACTGTTTTATCTATCAATTTTGCCCAGACTTCCCCCCACACTGCCTTTTTTTGCACAATAACAGTATAAGACGGATATACATATCTAAAAACAAATACATTTATCATATAAGTTGGAGACAGAGTTCCACAGCAATATAGGAGCTAAAGAAATCATTTGGATGATCTAAAATAAAAAAGGAAGACGGGTCAGACCAGGGAGAGTTCCAAAAAGAATCCCAGGTGTTGGCTAGACTGGGAAATCAACACATTTTCATGTGAAAAAACTCCCCACTTTTCTAGAAAAGTGAGATGAACATCAATCAAAAAGCTAAAAAAAATAAAAGCTAAAACTTTCCCTGTCCGGTCATGTCTGATTCTAAGGCCCAGTGCTCATCTCTGTTTCTTGGCCAAGGGAGCCAGCATTGTCCAAAGACAATTTCCATGGTCATGTGGCCAGCATGGCTATACACCAAAGGCACACAGAACACGGTTTCCTTCCCACCAAAGTGTTACCTATTAATCTACTTCCATCTGCATGCTTTTGGACTGCTAGGTGGGCAGGAACTAGGGCAGGAATGGGAGCTCACCCTGCTGTGCAGAGCTTGGGTTTCAAACCTGCGCTGTCAGCTCTCCATATGACAAGCACGGTATCTTTAACCATTGGGTCATCACACTCCTATGAACAAGGCAAATCTTTGTGCCCACTTCCCCCCAGCTTTCATGCATGTTCCCCTCAGCGTTAGTCATATCATACCTGGAGTACATGCTTGTTGTCTTTAGTGTGCAAAACAGCACTAACAGTTGCCAAGGAAATTCCTGGTTTCATCTCGGTGGGTACCAGTGAATCTGCAAGCTGAAGCAAAGAGGAGTTAAAAATAAGCAGAAACTTTTTCCTTAATAGAGAAAAAAATTAGCACAGCTAGCCTGGTAGTTTAGAAAGAAAAATACTGAACATGAATACAATACAACTGTCTTTCTCAACACAATATCCTTCAAATGTTTGGAGATACAATTCTCAATGTTCCCCAGTTAGCATGGCCAATTGCATCAGGTTTCTAAAATCATGTGTGACATGGTGAAAGGGGTCAGAAGGAAATATTATTTTCTTCCTCATAGCTTAGGACTTGTGCAATGGGTCAACAGAACTAATTAGCAGTTCTGTATAATCAATATAAGCAGCTAAAGAGAAATAGATTCTCATATCTTTGAAACTAGTTAAAAGTACAGTGATGACCCCTGGTTCAGTTGGCCTTAAAGTATAGACTTTACTAGAATATAGGGCTTCCTAATTGGAAATTCTAGGCATCTCTGATCTAATAGGTCTTCAAACTTACAATAGATGGATATTACAGAATACATTAATTATATTACTATAATAAATTTAATTAATATATTAAACCTTCATGGTCAGAGGCAATATGTCCGAAAATATTCCAGTGGGGTACCTGTCTTCAAGTCAGTGCTCTTCAACACTTTTGTAAGAGACTTAGAGGAGCTAAATGAGGTGCTAAGTAAATGTACAAATTACACAAAGCTGTGGGGTTGGGATTGTTTATACTTTCAAAGAGATACTCAAGATTGAAAAGGATCTTGATGGACTTGAATGTTGGGCCCTATTCAACAAATTGCTTCAATGTAAGAAATGTTAGGTTCTGCATTTTGGTAAGAAAAACTAGATTCACAACTACAAAATAAGTGATAGTTGGCTTGGCAATAGTACTTGTGAAAAGGAACTAGGTGTCCTGGCAGATCATAGATGAAGCACGATCCAATGGTGTGTAGCTAAAGAGCCAAAGAAATCCTGGATTGCATCAAAAGAGTTCTAATATAGAAATGTAATCTATGATGTGTCGGTCAGGCTGTCACTAGAATATTGTGTCTAGTTTTTGTTCGCACAATACAAGAAGGATGATGAGGGTCTGGAAAGATTCAGAGAAGATCAACGAAGGCAGTGAGACGCTTCAAAGCTAAATCCTATCAACTGGGTTTAAAATGAACTGGGCATGTTTAGCATGGAGAAGAGCAGGCTAAAGGGAGACTTGATAGCAGTCTTCTTGGATTTGAAGGACTGTCATAGGGGAGAAGATGTGAATTTATTTTTGGTAGTGTCCAAGGGTAGAACAAGAACCAATGGCAGAAACCTTGTAGGAAGAGATTCAAGTGTATAATAAAAAAGAAAGTCTTAACTATCAGAGCTATGAAACAGTGAAAAAGTGAAATAGTCTTTGCCCTGAATTGTGGGTACTTCGTTACTAGAGTCCCAAAGGTGCTTTTTCAAGAGGCAATGGGACTTTCTAGTTTTTCTTTGAAGACGTTTCTCATCCAGTTTCCCCTTGAAAAAGGACTTTTGGGACAACCATGACATTGATGATTAAGAGTCTCCATGAACATTACTAGAGGTTTTGAAACAAAGTCTGGATAATATTTGGGATCATTTGAGGATTCCTGCTCCAGGAAGGGAGTTAGATTGGAAGATCTTCAAATCTTTCCAATCCATGATTCTATGAAATAACCTTTGCTAGGGAGATGTTGCTTTCCTGCTCTATTTGTGGATTTCCTGAGATAAGAAGGTTGGCCAAACTGGGCACAAAGGGACTGTTGAATTGAAACATCCCCTTTCTGACTAAATTACTGCAACAAGTACTTTGTTGGAACACCTGAATGACTAGGTTGAGGAATGAGCTTTCTGGAGAAAATGTATGTGGTCATTAAGAGCCGGTTTCAATTTGATAGTACATCTATCAAGCAATCTTTTTAATTCAGCTTACCTTGCTAACCTTTTTGTTGAATCTATCTGAGTCTCCGCTATTTACAGATTCCTGCAGCTATGCTATGCATTACAAATCACATTAGTATTCAAACTATGTATAAGAAGAAAATAAAAAACACCTTCCTGATAGTATCATAAAAATGTGATGGTCCTAAACAGCAGCTGTGATGACTGTCTTCAATAAAAATATGATGTGCCTCAGGGTCTCCAACACACTTACACCCCAATAAATAAATCTATTAACAGCCAGGAAAAATCCTCCCTAAAGCAAGGAGAGTAAAAGACAGTTGGCTTCTTGCTATATTTTATTTATATGGGCTGAGTTTTATTTATATATTAGATCAACAGATAGAAGACAAATTTACCTTAGTTGCATGACTTTCTACTAATCTTCACTTTTGCCATTCCTATTGCCTATCCAACATGATAAAGGGAGAAAGAGAACATGGGCCACTAAAATATGGAGCTTGATAATATTGGCCACGTGGATTAGAAGCTCTAAGGCACTGACTGCTGCCTTTTATATGCCACTATGGAATATCGTTAAGGAGCTGGACCTTAAGGCCTAGTAGTTTTTCCTTGGCAACTGAAACTCACTGTGAAATTTGGGCCAATAACTCTCTCCTGGTCCAGCTTACCTCTCAGTGGTTGTTCTGGAGAAAACTGGGAAGAGGAAGAATTATATAGGTTGCCTTGAGTTCCTGGACAAAAGATTGGATAGATATCCAATCATAAATACAAAACAAATAAGTAAACAACCAACCTTATAAAGGAGAATATATATAGCTCAAGGTTGAAATGAGGGGTCCTTGGTACTCTCTGAGCTTGGTTGTTTTCTTGCAGATGTTTCATTTCCCATTCTTCAGTTGTTACCTAGTTTGGGTAATGAAACATCTGCAAGAAAACAACCAAACTCAGAGACCATCAAAGTCTCAATAACCAACTTTCTTCTCCGCTAGCATTAGAAAGAAGTTTCCTGTTTCCTGTTTTTAAGAATGAAAATAAAAAAACCCAAGTTGATTAGAGTTCTCGCTAATCATCTACTACGCCACTTAAGGCAGAAAACATCTGGGGCTACAAAATAACCTTTCCCCCACTACCAAGAAAATTGTCTTGAGATGACCCATTCTGCACTTTGGAAAAGCTTAGTGCACATGCCTCATTCCATGTTCCAGAGACTGAAAGTGAACTCTGGGTCTCCTGAGAGCTACAACTTCTTTTCCTGGGAGAGGACATGCTGTGTTGATAGTGAATGTTAAAGAGAAATTGAGGGAGAGAGGAGGAGTGAAGAGATCTTTCATTAAGGCAAATTTGAACCATTTAGTTCAGTGGATTCAGTCAAAAGCAGCTGAATCCAGTCTCAGGAAGCTTAGCAGGCATGATTACCTCTTTGCTTTTATTATTGAAGGCAGGAAGTGGGTGGTGGGAAGGTTTTTCATTTAACAGCTTTTCATCCTGGATGTCACTGAAGCCATTTTGGTGCTAGAGGAGCTGTAACGAGCCTCAGGGGGTTTCTTAAAACATTTAAGAAACGAAGTTGGGAGCTGTCTTCACCTATTTGCAGAATTCTCCTAAACTCATAGAAGTTAATTTCCCAAGGACACATTTTAAAGGACTGATGTCAAAGAAGGCAGATCCAGAACCGCAGACCGCGTTAGAACAGGGGTCCCCAACCACCGGTCCCCGGACCGGGAGCGGTCCGTGGATCATTTTTTACCGGGCTATAAAGCTTGGGCGCTGCCATCTTGTTTCAACGGCACTTCCGGTTTTTCGGTTGCTTCTGGGTTTTTGGTTGGAAAGTGCTTTCGGGTTTTCAGTTGGAAAGCGGCGTTTGGGTGCTCGTGCCTTAGTTTCGTCGAAGGGGGGGGGGCGGCTTTGAACGAAGAGCCGTCCTGATGGCGGTGGAGTCTTGCGTTACTCAGGTACCGGTCCATAGAAGAATAAACAATCGTGAAACTGGTCCCTGGTTCAAAAAAGGTTGGGGGCCACTGCATCAGAAGGCAAAGAGATTACCGCCTTTAAATTATGGTGCACTCACCAGAGCTCTTCCTGTCTTACTATAGGGACTCAATGCCGCTGCACTTCCATGTGTGGCAAATCCAGCATTACAGCCTTAGCCAGAAGCCTTTATATTTCTTGTGAGCCATACTGCTTTTAATGCAAGGTTAGGGGACATTATATCCCCCGGAAGTGGAAGTTATACACCCTGGCCAGCTCTATTTAAAGACTGCACTAGGTCAACGGGAGCTAAGAGACAAATAAAGAACTCCAGTGTCCTCCAGCCAGCACAGCCCATGGCTGGGACTGCAAAATGTGGTGATAACTCTAGAGAAGCAAGGCTGGCATTCCCAGCTGCTGATTTCTTTGACATTCGGGTTTTTTTTTTAAAAAAAAAAGACTTACCATAGAGGTATTAACAAATCATGTACATTCAGCTTTTTGGCAAAAAAAAAGGATGAAAGAAACAGGTCTGCTAAATATTTTGTCATCAGCACATATTTGGCTAGGCGGGAGGTGGGGAGCGTCAGGGATCACAGAAATCACAAAGAACCTAGTATTGAGGAGAAATTTTAAGTAAACTTGAGTGGGAAAGGGACAGTATTTGCTGTACTTAAGATCTAAACCAGGGGTGTTAAACTCGCGGCCCATGGGCCGGATGCATCGCGCGCTGGCCATGCCCACGCCCAGTTTACCGAAAGGGGAAAAAGTCACGATAATGTCACGTGACAATGCGAGTTTGACACCCCCGATCCAAACAAATGAGAAATCGTCCTTGGATTTAACCCCAGAGACATTAGAATCTTTCAAGCAAATTGAAATCAAAAGATTTGAGAATTAAGTGCGCAAACACGAATCATGATCCAGAGAAACCTGACAGAATCCTTATCCGTGGGGCAACTTTATTCAACACGCTGCCGCCACCACCAATCACTATGATGTTGTAGCTTAGCAGAATCTGATAAATATTCCCACTTTAAGAGCGCATGGAGAAGCTGCAACTGGAGCAATCCTTTCCCCACTTAAAAGACACTCCTGGACTCCAGCTGCTGCTCAGGCTAATGGGTTCTTGGCAAATCAGAGCTCCCTCTTCAACTCAATGGGGGTGTCTGGAGGGGGCGGCAGGAGGGATGGGGGAAAATCAGTATTTGTTCGGGAAGCAGCTTAATTGTACACACCAGGGTGGCTTGTGGCTTTGTGCTGAGTTTTACATTCTGTACTAAATGGTGATGCTTTGAGCTGCACTAAAGAGGGAGGTTCTTACCACCTTAGGTGGTTCTTTCTAAAATGCTCGGCTTGCAATAAAGGTTTTCCATGTTTCAGAAGAAAACGCATCCTTTTCTTTCAGGAGCACCTGTTGTATTTGAGGCTTTCAACAAGGCTGGATGCATGACTTGACCCCCCCTATCACCAATGCACACCCCAATGTATTAATGTGCCCCGCTACTGTGAGTAACAAATTATATAGAGGAAGGGCTCCCTCTTCAGGCTTTGATGCGCTCAACTGATGGGAAGAAATGGATGCGAATTGGCAGATGGTGATACCAGGCACCTGGGATGCAAGAATGGGGACCAAAACTGGCTGTGACTGGCAGAAATGGGTACCAGAGGAACCGAAACTAACACTGGGCTTTGGATCACAGAGAAGCTATCTATTTTATAACACATTTATATTCTGCCCTTGAAAAACACAGACACAGACACACACACACAACCCAATAAGTGGTAATCAAGTCTCTGCAATCCAGAACAACGTATCAATTCTACAGCACACTAGCCTTGAAAATTTTCTTGCATACTCTCCCATTATTCCTGCTCAACCGCTAGTTGAAGAAAAGACCACACACTCAGGGTTTCAGTCCTATATCAAACATAAATGTACGTGGAAAATCCGATGGCCTGGATACAAAATCCAGGAAGGGCTTTGTTGAATCAGACAAAAGCCTCCTGAGTCCAGTAGCACTTTCTTTCCAGCAGCATGGATAGAGATTGGTTAGGAGGATAATAGCTCTCCTTTGTTTTGTCTCCCCAGTGTCCAATATCCTGAAAATGTAAGTTCCTAGGAGACCGACTGATTTAACCATGATGGAAAATGGAAGCATTTCTGAGAAATAATGCTAGCCCCAAAGACATAAGAGTAGAAACATTAGATTTTCAATACTTGAATATCCAGGAGTTCGATCCTGACTGGCTCAAGGTTGACTCAGCCTTCCATCCTTCCAAGGTTGGTAAAATAAGGACCCAAATTGTTGGGAGGCAATATGCTGACTTTGTAAACTACTTAGAGAGGGCTGTAAAGCACTGTGAAGCAATGTATAAGTCTAAGTGTTATTGCTATATATCCCACAAATATTAGAAAACATGGTCCTTTTTAAAAACACACACACACACACACACATTGTACCAAATAAAAAATATATGTATCACAGACAGGGTAGTCAGATGCCCATACAGAATGAAATATAGAAGCCAGCCCCCTTGTCTGTCTCTATCCTGCTTGTCATTTCTTAAGTGTAGAATATGCCCTTCAGTGTTTTCAGCTTTTCCAAAATACACATGTCCTCCATTTATATCGAAGTATCAGTTCTCATTTATAAACTCCCATCAAATTCAAGTGTTATTGGATGCATCTTTTAAACAGAAGCCCAGAATATTGTATCTTATACTGTACCTTAGCAGTGAAGCAAATGCAATCTAAATGTATCTTAAACAAGCATAATTTGTCTCATTCATATTAGAGGCAACAATCAACGTGGAACACCACGAAGGACAACTATATTATAGGAAAAACAGCAGTTGTGAATCCCAACACTACTCCCAAAACACAGAGTCCTAAGGCATGCAAGAGGACACAGAACTCTGATCCATGGAAGTGGGTGTAACTGGAAGAATGGAATAGCACACCTCTAAACAAGACTTCAATCCTGGCAATCAACTAATAAAAGAACACAAGCAGGTTTCAAAAGAACTTCAAACCAATACCCAGGAAAGGGAATAACTTATTTATCTACAATTTGTTGTGCAAAATAGAGTTCAATAGCAAAGCTAATAGGGACCCTAATCAGAAAAGCTGGAAGAAATTAAACAAAATATTGATATTTTCTTTCACCTCAATTAAAACTGGACAATATGTTCAATATTTCTGTATATATCCTGTAAGAGAGAGGTCTTTTATTTTATTTTAATTTTTGGCTGATCGCTATGCTTGGAATGTTGACATTGTGCCTAGGATGTTATAGCTGCCATAACAAATGAGCTAGGCCATTGACGGAATGACTAGCCATGATCACGTAGCTAGTCTCCAAACAAACCATCCTGGTGGGACTGGTCATTGCAAGGGCAGCAAGAAAATTAGCCAAAGGAACATTGGTACATGTAGCCAACACACTGGTAATCTTAAGGTGGAATCTATCACAAAACTAAATCAGAGCACTGATACAAGTAACCCAGTTTTGCTTACTAGAATGGAAAGGTTCTAGAAAGTTTGCTAGAAGAGAAAGACTACAACATACACCAGTTAGTATGTCAATAAACAACAACTAGGTGCTGTATTCATGCACTTCACCTATTATGTCAGAGGTCTCCATAGCTGGCTGGAGAATTCTGGGAGTTGAAGTCCACAAGTCTTAAAGTTGCCAAGTTTGGGGACCCCTGCATTACGTCAAGGTCTTTCAATCCCTCTCCCCAAACAATCCTGAAGAGATCTCTTATCAGTCCCCCACTTCCTTCATGAGCCCACCTTTCATTCCTCACCTCTGGGGTGATTTCAATCTTCTCATAGCGGCGTTTGAATGGAAGAGTTAGCACCTCTGCTCTACGGTAGGACATGGGTGGAGGCATGCAGTCAACCATTAAATCTGTGCGATGGGATTGGGTTGGAGGAGGCTGAGTATATTGCTCAGGACAAACCACATGGAGAGGCTGTTAAGAAAAAAAAGAAAAGCACTCTTGAGATTTTCAGTAAGTTATACAGTGGTTTCAAAGTGTGAAAATAAGTTTTTTTCACACAGGTTTTCCAATATAAATTAATTAAAAGTATGTGCTATCCAACTGCCAATGACTCCATATACAGTTTGTACACTGCATGTAAAAGGAGCGGCTATTTCCAAGGCTTTGCATAATAAAACTTACCAGAAACTAAAAAAAATAAATAAAATAGCACGTCAGGGAGAAAATGTCCAGCTCAGCCTGCTTTCTACTTGGTAACGAATAAAATAAAATAATAAAATAGAACACATTTGCCCCCGTCCCCATCCCGAGAGAGTGCCAGCCTACAAATTTAAGATAGATTCAACCATTACAGGACCATAAGACCAGGCCTTAGTCTTCTGACAGAAAAGCTATTTATTCTGGGAAGATTTGCAGATGGGTGAATTTCAAATCCCAGAGTTTTTCAGCTTACGGGATTATTACTGAGAATTCTTGGAGGGAATGTCCATGAATCTGGAGAATGCCTTGTTTGGAGAAAACTAGAAAAAGTTAATTATACTGAAAAACTGAAAGCAATGGTAGCTTGTCTCAAGCCTTCAGATCATTTCGTGTAAGGTTTATATTACAGTTAAATCTGAAGTACAGCATTAGGCAATGCAAATGTAGATATGTTGTAAATTATACCACTTATAGTATGACACCATTACACAAATGATACCAAAATTACATCATTTAGATAATGATGTCATTATACAAATAACATAAATGGACACCAATCATGCCATTATGCAACTTCCAACTGAATTTTGTCCATTGTATGCAGCTCTCTTTCAGTTGAGATGTGGAAAACTGGGGTTTTATTGTACTATTACAACTCTGGTAAGATGTTAGGCTGCAAGGAATATAATATTTAAAATGTGCAGCTCTCTCATAGTGACTGCCTAAATTCTGGGGGGCCCTGCGGGCTATACTAACACGATGATGCCAAGTGGGTGAGAACAAGTCACATAGACTTTTCTTTATGGTTGGTTTTTTTTTTCTCTCAACTGCTGTTAAAATTATTTTAGAACTTATCATGTTGCATGTGTTCCTCATCTCAAAATGGCAATCAGCCACATGGTTGATTTTGGACAATTGCACTGACAAACATAAATCATAAGGAGCCCTAGAGGGCTGGAAAAACGGGGTCAGAGCAACCTAGGTTGGAGGTTGGAATGTTTTCTGCTTTTGTAATACAAGTCTGTATTACACAAGGACAAATGTCAGTTGCACGCTCAACAAAACTTCACATAATGCAATCTGGCAAAAATCCAGTTTCTAAAAAGATATTAGCCTCTTTGGAAGACTTCAAATATAGTCAGTGATGATGTTTTGGATTTTCTTCACTGAGAAATAAATTGGCATAAAGAATATTTCTAGGCACATCTGCAAGAGCAGAGGTTTTCATTAAAACGATGAAACAACACTGGGCCATTGCAACACAAACTCTACCACAAGAACACATTTACAAAGGGATGAGATTTGTGTCCTGGTGGTGTGGCACTGCTTCCATCATTTCTCCATGCTTGATTCTCCCCACCACCACCTCCACTCCCCCTTCATCACCACCCCCGGATGCCTCAGTTCTATCATATATAGCAGAATAAATTTTGGAGGCAGCCGTACTTGGGTAAAGTATAATTTGGACTTGCAGTAAGCAAATTAAGACAAGTAAATTTGATTACCTGTACTTCTTTGAGTAGTTTGGACACCTGGATAAAATTCAGCCTGGTATCTATAGGACAATAGATGCACTTCATGGCCAGTGGCTGGTAGGGGGCCAATGCATCCAGATAAGAGAAATCAGGCTCTGTAAACAGGAGAGGAAACAGGAATAAAGAAAGAAAGAAGTCTAGTGTTTAATATTATGCCGAAACTTTGTCAAACTACACACTCCTCTATAGGACTGGGGACTTTGGTTTAAAAGCAGGGACTACATGGCTTGGGGACATCTTAATGATCAAGATTTCAAGTCCTGAGACAAAGAGGATGCATAGAATAAACAAAGGCAAGACAATTAAAGAGGAGTATAAGAATCAATTTTGTGTAGTAGCTAAAGGCACTGAGGTAGATAGCAGGAGACAGAGAGTTCTAATTCCACTTTATGCATTAAGCTAGTTGGGTGATTTAGGGCCAGTCAGTCTCATTCAGCATGGGAAGAAGATAAGGGCAACCCACTTCTGAAAATGTTGTTAAGAAAATTCAGTGAGGGTCACCAGGAATCAGGAAGTTTGACTGAAAGACATCACAAAGAAAGAAGGCCGGTGACAAGGAAAAGGAGAAAGAGCTGGCTTATTACCCAAAGCCTTTGTTGATCTAAACACTCCACATTCTGATATTTGAATACAGACACAAGAGGGAAGAAACCACATTGGTACCGACTGGATGGCTGTGTCTGCTAGCATCAATTTTTTTCCCATAATGCTATGGCAGGATCTTTGGAGAAATTTACATTTAGAGATTCCCGCATATTTGCTCAAGGATTTTACTAGCCATTTCTTTATTATGAATCTATTGACTCTCCAACACATTATTTTAAGTAACTTAATTTTTCCCTTCCTGCCCTTACCAACTCGTCATAGGCTCCTGATTTGAATTAAATCACTTTGACAGAAGGATTCAACAGGGGCAAGTTTTAGCCAATATATCTACCTCCCGAAATTTTCAAAACAGTCCACTAGCAGTACAACTCTTCCCATTAAGAATTGAAGTTTCATGTCATCTGGCTTTTACAACAGCTTTATAATTGAAGTTGCCATCTGATCCATCATTCTTCTCCAACATGGTGCCTTCCAGATACTTTGGGTTACATTTCTCATCATCCATATGAGAAGAGACAAGGTGGGGAAATGTATTGGATACACTGATTCTCGGGCAATTCCTACCAAATTTTATGGGACCTGAGGCTGAGTAACCAAATAGGATTGTCCCATAATAGTTGGGCCTGAAAATTGGATTACCATCAGATTTACATACAGCATAAGATCTACTTTCACCATAGCACTTGTCTAAAAAGTAAGGAGGTGTATAACACTATAAAAATAGGGCTTCTACTGTATCTTCAAATTTAACATAAATAAAGATGTGTTCTTATTCAAGGACTTCAAGGGAAGAGATACCTAGTTCGGCTCATTCCTCCCTTATCTGTTGACATCCCTCAATATGACATAATGAATCACAATTCCCATTACCAACACATCATAAGAAAGATACCACGGTGGCGAAGGCTAATCTAGTTATTTTCAGATAATCAATAGAAAATTATATCAATTAGTCTTGTGTAGAACAGCAGTGGCAATTCATCTAGAAGAACGATCACTTCCTTCCTACTGGAAATTTAATCAAGAGTTCATTCTGCAATAAGGAAACTGAATGTAAAGGGAAGTACTCCTCAAAGTACTTCCCCATCTTTGAAAGAAAATGAGGATATGGTAGAAAGCAGTATTTCTTCATAGCTTTCCAACATATAAATAGAAAGTTGTGGGCTTTAGCCCAAAATATTTTTCCAAAGTTACTTGAGCAGCCCTGTTTCAACTTCAGTATTAAGTTACGTGAACTGAAGTAGCACATCTTTTCTCTGAGTCATAGCAAAAAACTAAAGTCCTGTGGGAAAATCCAAAATGGCCAGGCTGTCTGGGACAGTTCCCACATATCTAGACATAACTACAGACAAGATGTTTTAAGTAAAGCAGAAAAAACAATTTCTGAGAACCCTCATTGGGCATTTAACTGGCTAATGTACTGGACAGATTTATTTTTGGTCTCATCCAGCAAACCTACTTTTTCTTGAACACGCTGTCACAAAACAATGATTTGTGGGTCTGCCCTTGGAGATGGTTCTAAAGTGTCCCTTTTAACCAGAAGGATGCCTACATTTTAATTAATTATTCAAACTTAATCAAATTCAGAAGAATTTTATTAACTGCTCATTTCCTTTCAGGCCCAATTAAAACTGTTGCTCTCTATTTTTAAGGCCCCATTTACTTTCCATAATGATAAAATGTCTGTGGAAAACCATATTGGCTTTTATTGGAAGTGAAGTCTCTGTGGGCTTGGTAAAAAATGATGCATTCAAGTCTGTAAATTACTTACCCAGGTCCATACGTTAGAAATACAGCTCTGTTTTGCTACTAATTATGCTAGAAATCATACCTGTAAATATAACAGTGTTGAGACTGGATTTCCCCCACAGTTCCATGAAATGCACCACATCGCCAAACCGAAGCGAGGGATGACCAGTGAATACCACACAAGGCTGCTTGAAGTCATTACTAAAATCTCCATGGATGCTGGGGTAATGCTTCAGTTTGTTTGACTGGATGAGCTGGTATTCAGAAGGAAGAAGGTGGTTATTTGCCTTTTTCTTTAATAATTATTTTGAAGACACATTTCAGTGACAGTTAAACCTGCCATTCTACCCTCCAGCCTCTGTCCCCAGAGCAGAGGTGGTATTCAGCAGGTTCTGACTAGTTCTGGAGAACCAGTAGCAGAAATTTTGAGTAGTTCAGAGAACTGGCAAATACCACCTCTGACTGGCCCCGCCCCTCTGACTGCCGCCCGAGTCCCAGCTGATTGGCTGGCTCTTCATTTGTTGTCCTGCACAGGAGAACGGAGCTGGAAATCTCTTAGTGGGGAGGGAATGGATATTTAACAGTACCCTTCCCCTGCCACGCCCACCAAGCCAAGCCACACCACACACACCAAGCCACACCCACAGAACCGGTAATAAAAGATTTTGAATCCCAGGGGGTAAAAATGGAATTTGGTCCTGCTTTTTAGTTTTCTGGCTAAGATCATGTGGTTGTAATGTCTGTTCTTACAAGATTTAGTTTATAAATAAAGTAATGTAGCAATATTGTGGGCTATACATTCCATGGCTCCAAGAGAGAGAGAGAGAGAGAGAACAGCTCCCAAGTCAAACATGGTTCTCCTCTTCAGAGCATTTCTTCCAACAATGGAACCTGGAGGGTCAGCAGGCAATTCTGGGAGATGAATTCCTTTGGAGGAATGTCATCTCCAGAGAGCAGAGATAGAGGGCTCTGTAAGCAAGTCTTGCCCCAGCCCCCAAAGTGAAGAGTTTTGCCTTGGTGTTGCTAATGGACATTTTCCTTGACAAGACAAGAACGACTGATAATAATGCATTAAATAATGCTTGCAGACTTCTAAAAACATATTCAGTTTCTTCTTTTTTCCCCATTGATGGGAGGAAAAGCAGCAGCTTCAAGGATACCTTTTACACTGTATTGACCAAAATCTCCAGAGGCTGGAGATGGAAAAACAAAAACCCCAAACAAAAACCAAATACATTTTCTAAGCTTAAATTGCAGCATTAAAAACAAGGGCATTCTCCAACAGCTTGCTTTTTCTTTCATATGAAGTGGATGCAGTTTGGAAGGTCAATAAGCCCAGGTGTAAACTGCAGAAATCTATGAGGCTACTCTTTTTTAAACAACATCAAGGAAACATATATAGTAAGCCATTTTGCCTTTATTTGAGTTGGCAGTTCCAAGCCAGTCTTCTCCCACTTTCACAACTGGTAAGGAAGGAGCTGTAGTGGACCTCCTCTACTTCCCAAGCTTCCCTCACATAGCTTACAGCCTAAAAGGCCTTCCATTATAGCCTATAACTGTTACAATAAATTATGAAGCCCTGGTATTTATGGGTTTAGGCACAAGAGACAGGGCACAAGAGACATCTACTAAAAAAGGCAACTGCATTGGTTTGGTGGCTGCAGTGCCTCAGACAGAAAGTCCATACAGAGAGTGGTAAGGACAACCGAGAAGATTATAGGAAGAAGCTCGCTTCCTGTCATTCAGGATACTGCTTATAAGTGCTATGTGCTTAGAGCTCAAAGCATTGTTAGAGACCCCACACACCCACATCATGGTCTGTTTCTGTGGTTCCCCTCTGGGAAGTATTTCTAGCAGGGCTACCAGATGAAATTTAATTTAAATTAAATTAAAACTAAATAGCTTAACAAGCTTATATATGCACTGTCATTCTAATTAATAATTTTGCAGTTGGAAGGGCAGGTCACAGCCTAGGAACAGGATCCAATAGTCCTATTCAGCTAAAGAAGGTATCTCCATCCTTTCTCATTTTAAATTAATGAAATGGAAGCTCTGCACATTTAGGGAAACCAACTTACCTCTGCATGAGGAAAGGGAGGTTCTGGTAGGTATACTTTTGTCTGCTTGTTGTGACATAACCTAGAGTTGAAAGGAGAGAGCAAAACAATCCAGAATTATAAGCCTGTCTGGTCACACACAGCAAGTAACTGCTGCCACCTACTGCCCAGCCCTTCAGGCAAAGTTTGGTGGCAGCAACAGCCAAATAGTTAAATAAATCTGGAACCTTCTCTAGGATCCCGCTGGAATAGAGGAACAAGAAAACATCTGGGAGTGCTTTGAAAACTAACAATGTAATCACAGTATATCCCTTCAAGGGCATCAGTCTTGAACATTTATGTCATAATAAATCTGTATGTCTTGAAAGGATTAAAATGACTCAGATGCTTCCTCTTAACAGATTATTTATAGAGGAATTGCATCTATAGAAGAAAGAGACATCAGCCACTATGGTTTGGGGAAAGAATTTCTGGGAGCTATCTGGTGGACTACCAGTTCACTACCTGGCTTTCTTTCAGGAATCTTCATGGATCAAAAGTCAAGAGGATGATTGCTGAAATAGAACTGACATTGTCTGAATCCACCACATGGATTATATGTGAATAATAAATAAGACACACAGCATTTTTCTACAACCGCTGGCTCAGAAAAAATATGAAATACTTCTGAATATACAGAACAAGGGGAGACAGCCTACTGCCTGAGTTGCTCCCTTTTATACGTTCCTAAAGACACTGGAATAGGTGGGCTCAAACTTCTGGATGGAGGATGTTTAAAGACAAAACCCTAAAGGCTTAAAACTCCACTTCACCCCTCCCCAAAGAGCCCTGAATGCCCCCTCCCCAAGCCCCATTCCTCAGAAACGTATTAAAAAAAAATGAAGTGAACCTCTTTGCTGATAAACAGAAGCTACTGCTACCTACCATTCGGCAAAGATCTGGGAAAACTCAAGAGAGCTGTTTGCCACAGGTGAAATGAAGTAGAAGAGGATGTTGGAAAGGCCAGCAGAATCAATGTACTGATAGAGACACTCCAAAAGATCATAGATCACTCCAGAGGGATAGCAAGGGACCAGCACGTTTCCCCCATTTCGAACTGTAAGAGCTTAACAAAGACACAAGGCAATAAAAAAAATAAGATATACGGTTCAATAGTGTCCAATTAAGAAAAGTCACAAACATGGCCTAATGGAGGCAGCTGTCCCTGTGGTTTCTCCTCAACATGAAGATATTGAAGTATATTGTTTCTGAACACAAGAGGTTTCATTAATTGGCAATGAAGCAAACAAGCATTGGCAAACTCCTCTGAATTTAGAAACGTCCGTTATGTCCACAATTATTAAGTCAAAACCATTTTTCATACATTTTCCAGGAATTGTGGAAAGTGCCCTCTTTTCTGGGAACAGAACCAGTGCTTCATGCTGGTCCATTTCATTAACAATACTAGAGTTCTGTATTTATTCATTTTTTTGATTTATATATTAGTAATCCTGAAAACTATTTTTACCGATAGCTGTTCAGATGTTTTCAGAAGCCTTCATGCCTATACCACACTTCTATATTCTATGCTTGGCTACTCCCAAGATTTCAAGCCTGCATAAACTAAGGTTATCTCTTTGTTTATTAGTTAATTAAAGCATCCAATTCAGTAATGGGATTCTACCTTAGTCTCTACCGGTTCGTTGGGTGATTGCGCATGCGCGCCTCCCTAACACGTGCCTCCCAACAAGCCAATCAGCTGAGGGGATAACAGATAATCAGAGTAGGAAGGGATCTGATAGGACACCTAGTCCAACCCCCTGCCCAAGTGGAAGACCCTACACCATTTCTGACAAATGGCAGTCCAATCTCTTCTCAAGTGATGGTGCTCCCACAACTTCCAAGGGCAAGCTGTTCCATTGGTTGATTGTTCTCACTGTCAGAAAGTTTCTCCTTATTTCCAGGTTAAATCTCTCCTTGTTCAGTTTCCATCCATTATTCCTTGTCTGGCCTATAGGCACTTTAGAAAATAGACTGTCCCCTTCCTCTCTGTGGCAGCCCCTCAAATATTGGAAGACCTCTATCATGTCTCCCCTGGTCCTTCTCTTCACTAGACTAGCCAAGCCCAGTTCCTGTAACCGTTCTTCATATGCCTTAGTCTCCAGTCCCCTAATCATCCTGCTTGTTCTTCTCTGTACTTTTTCTAGTGTCTCAACATCTTTTTTATAATGTGATGACCCAAACTGGATGCAGTACTCTAGGTGTGGTCTTACTAAGGCTTTATAGAGTGGTATTAGTATCTCACTTGATCTCGATTGTATCCCTCTGTTAATGCAACTTAGGATTGCATTAGCCTTTTTGGCTGATACTGTACACTGCTGGCTCATATTTATCTGGTTGTCATATTTAGCTGGATGAAGAAACAAAAAGCTAGAAGCGACCCTCCTACCCTCCCATGTGCTTTTCAGTGTTTTATTCTCTCAGCTGATGTCCAGGCTTTTTTCCCCTTCTCTCAGCTGATCAGAGGTACTTTTTTTAAACTACCTGTTTGGCTGAACTGGTCTGAACCGGTAGCATACCACCACTGATCCAATTTTTCTCCTCAAAACAAGGGTTCTCTTGAAGAAGTCACAATAAAAACAGAATCTTACAATAAAAGTAACAAACAACCTCCCTCCCCCCCTTTTTCCTGTAAAAGGTGCAGAAAACAGTATAACTAAAACAGCTGGTTAATAAAAACAAAGTTATAAATCAGGGGTTGTTGACTTTTGAGGCCACTGGGAACATAAAATAATTTTGAGAGTATGTTATAGACCTATTATGGCTGTCATGAGAGGCAGAATCAGACATAAAATACCGCATGGCGTGTATATTTCCAGAGAAAGCAATAGGCAATTATTTTCCTTTCTCAGGATGGCTCCAATATAAATAAAGATGGTGCTTGAGTTTGAGGGTCTTGCTTTGTAGCTTGCTAGCTTTTCATTTACTTTTTTGTAACTAAAAAGGTTTTTAAAAATAGAATCAAGTGCCCAACACTTGCCTATGGAGAGGCCTTTGATTATTGCAGCTCTTGTAGGCACTATACAGGTGTACTCGAGATTGTAAGTCAAAATAGATAAAAGGTCTGGGAAAATTAGTTTTTAACATGGGGCTATCTAGTATAGTAAAATTCTGAGTTATAGGTGGCAGCCTTCTTAGCGAAGTATCTTTTGGCTTTAGAGAAAGTGAACCTATTCAAGATTCTCCAGGACAGGATGGATATATAAGGGGTCTTCCTATTCCAGTTTAGAGTTGCTGCAGTAATAATCCCTTTCTAAGTGTTAGTGCATTTTTGTTTTCACAGTTATTCTTTGGCTTCCATTTCTGGCTTCATCCTTGTCTCTGTCTCTGGTTTATTTCTTAGATAAGGAATAAATGAGGCATGTTTGCATACAACTTGATTTTTTTGGCAAAAAATGACGTAAATCATGGTGATATAACCGTAGGATGCTACAAATGGTGGTCAATGTGGGCTGGTTACTAAGCACTTGAAATATGGTTATATGACTGGGAGGGGGCTGTTGGAACTTTGGAATGTGTTCTTTTAGGGAGAGTGTCCATCGTAACTTCAAGCAGTTGCTAAGCAACTGGTTGTAAGTTAAGGATTACTTATATATAACATTATGTGTGACCATTCATATAGCAATTCACGTAAGAGTTTTAGGAATGACATGTCTGGGCTGCAAAAATCTAAATGACCACAAGGTGGCAAATTAATCTTCTGGAGGTTTGCAGTCTAATTGTAAGTAAAGCAATTGTTATGTGTATCTATGTACCAGCAAAGCCATCACATAACTTAATGCAGGGATCTCAAATTTTTGGTTGGTGCACTGCACAGAGGCCTCTAAATCTGTTTCTATGGCTTCAAAAACACTTCGTAGGAATTAAGGAAATGCCCAGCAATAGCAGGCACAAAGCACTACATAGACACAGAGGTTAAGTCATGAGAAGCACTCCAGGAGCTAGAAAGAAATGTGATGGTGGCTCAACTCAGTCCAAACCCAGAGGTCTCCTGTGATCTGACTGAGGCTTCATGAGACCATAATTAAGCACACACTTTGTCCAAACAACTCTTGTTTTATTTCAATGCTGGGAATTATGTTCATTCCCAGCCTGTAATGAGTCCCAAACAATTTCTTGAGATAAGCACCCACTTTTATCTCCTTTGATTTGCTGCTGACAACTAAAGTGCCAAATTAACTGTAAAAAGCCAAATGAAATAGAGCTTCAAGGTTTAATCTGAACAGAGCGAATGACTTTCCTTCCTGCAAAGGTTTCTCCACCTTTGCACTTCCTTTATACCTTATGAGAGGGGCACTCACCTCCAAGCCTTACTCCCGAGTTGCCCATTTTGTCTTAGCAGCTCTTGCCATCTGACAGCTCTGTGCAAAAGTGCACTGGGAATAGGCTCCCCTTGTTCCTCTGCCTTGTTGCTGCCAGATTCTGGAGGCTCCGGAGTCAGCACATAACTCCCAGATGGTCCTGGCCCCATCTCTGTGCTGGATGCAGGACCCTCATCTGAGTCCTCCCCAGATTCCCAGAATGGTCCCTGTTCTTCCTCACTGTCCGATTCTGCTGCCGTCTACACAGGCTGCCGGCGAACCACAACATCCTGGTTCGCTGGGCCACATAGTCAGGGTCTGAAACCTTTCGCATTTCAAAAATCCTTGCCTGATCTTGTCCTCCATGGCACAGCTATACAGGTGGCCCTGGGCTCTCTGGCCAATGGGAGGGAGAAACATAGAATAATAGGATTGGAAGAGACCTTGGAAATCTTGCAGTCCAACCGCCTGTTCAAGCAAGAGACGGTATAATGTTCCAGACAAATGGTTGTCCAGTCTGTTCTCCAAAGCCTTCAATGATGGAGCACCAACATCTTTTGGAGGTAAGCCATTCCCCTAATTAATTGTTTTCACTATCAGGAAAGTTCTCCTTAGTTCTAGGTTGGATCTCTCTTTAACGATCTTTTACCTTTACCTTTTGTCCTGCTCTCAGGCACTTTGGAGAATAGGTTGAGCTGTCTTCTCTGTGACAGCCCCTCAAATCCCGGAAGACTGCTATCATATCACGCTTAGTCCTTCTTTTCAATAGACTAGACATACCTAAGGCTTGGACAGGGAACATGGGATGAGATCCTGGGACTGCTTGAGAGACGCACATGAAATAACTTAAAGAAATGCTCTCTGCTGGGAAAGACAGCAAGCAAGCAAAATATCTCTGCCGGTCAAAGGGAGCGAGGGAAGAAATCAGCCAGGGAGAAAAGAGGAGGAAGCAAAGAAGAACAAGACTGAAGCAAAGAAAGTTCTCTGTTCAATAAAGAGAGAGAAGCCAAAGAAAAGCAGGGTTAGGACTGATCTTGCTGAGACATTTTCCTTTGATTCTATCATCCTACACATAATTTTTCAAGTTCATTGAATATTTGGAGATTTTAAAAAATGCCAGTAAAGTAGCCAAAGTGAAATGATTCCTTTGCACCCCTGCTTAAAAGTCTAGCTTTTTTAAAAAAAGTACTAAGTGTTTAATGGCATTCTATTTATTTTCTTCACTTCTGACTCACCTGGTATGAAAAGACTTTAGCGTTACATCCCTTTTAGGCTAATAAACTCATCCTTACGCAGCGCTTGCAACAAGACCCTCTGCCTTAAAGCCCATAATAAAATATCTTGCCAGGAGAGGGCAGCAGAGTTCCAGAAAGCTATTTTGACTAAAAGAAACACAAGCCAGGAAACAGGTCCTGGTACTGGAACAGTACAAGTAGAGGCACACGTATATGTGCACACATGTACATAGATATCCTTCAAAGGACAAAAACTGTAGGGCGGATTAAACTGTGCAAGTGTCATCACGCTGGCTTTCCAGCAACTGCAGCCCAAACATGTAAAATAATTAGTAACTCATATAAAGGAAAGGGTTGTGAGGTTCCTGGAATGAAATAATTCTCATAGCTAGCAGGAAGGTAGAGCCAAGGGCTCCTTTAGACTGTCATCATCATTGCCCATGAGCTCGACTGAGAACATTGTTGGGTTTGATAGGGCTACGTTGGGACAAGATGCTCCGAAAAATGTAACTGCAAATGAGTTGATAGATGGTGTCAAAATTCTATAGAAGACAACATAATCCTGATTACAACCATGGACCAATCAAAAAGCAAGGAACATCTTGGATGAGAAGCAGACAAATGAGGAAAGTAATCCAATGCACACCTATGCATTATAGGGTAAAGGATACCTGAAATACACGACTCTCTATAAGGAATCCAATCACAGGAACGCATCTGAGAACATCCCAAAGGTGCTTTGTTGCAAGAGGAAACTGGACTTTCTTGTTGTTCTTTGAAGACGTTTCACTTCTCATCCAAGAAGCTTCTTCAGCTCTGACTGGATGATGGGGAATGGAAGGATTTCCATTCCTCCAAATGGCCTCAACGACTCTCTAGAAGAATGCAAATGTCCAGCTGTCTGTAAGGAATATAAATCCATCCATTCCCCACCATCCAGTCAGAACTAAAAAAGCTTCTTGGACAAGAAGCGAAACCAGTCCAGTTGCCTCTTGAAAAAAGCACCTTTGGGACAACCATGACCTGGATGACTGAGAATCTCCATAGACATCTCACAACATGCGTAGAGGACCAGGATAGTGCAGAGCTTATTCAGTCCTTTCAGAGCGGAGCTGAACTGGGAACTGGAACTACAACAGTTTGGTGTAGTGGTAAAGGTGCTGGACTAGAAACCAGGAGACTGTGAATTCTAGTTCCGATTTAAATAGAGCTGGCTGAGTGAGTTGGGACCAGGGGTGAAATTCAACAACCTCACATCACCTTGGGAGAGGTGGTAGGGACGATGTGAATCGGTTGGCCCTGCCCACACCCACCCGCCTTCTTCCTTTTAGAGACTGAGTCCCACCAAGCTACGCCCACCAAGCCACGCCCACAGAGCCGGTAGGGAAAAATTTTGAATTTCACCCCTCAGCCCAATTCATCTCCCAGTGGTAGGGCAGAAAATAGGAGGGAGAAGTATCATGTAGATATCACCTGGAGTTGTATAAGGTGGCATAATAACAACAATTACAATTAAAAGTCAACAGACAAAGTGAAAGTGAACAGAATCACACCAGATCTAAGTAGGATTGGCATCCTAAACAAAAAAAATATATTTCATAACGCTTCCCACTTAGAAGATCTAATTATATTTGTTATTATTTTAGTAACTTTATTTTCTTGCAAGTTGCTGTGACACCGTTTGATAAAACAGGCCAGAAAACTGGGCAAGTAAAATGCTTCTCCCCTCCCAACCACATGGACTATTTCAGGCAAGCTGGGAAATTATACTGTTTGCACCCGTGACATTGTACAGCTCAACAATTATCAGTTTTGTCGACAGTGAAAATTAATTTGCTAGCGAATTCTAAATTTGTAATCACAGCTGCGGTGATACCTATCTATAAACCAAGAGAGAGAGAGAGAGAGAGAGGGAAAAAAAGAAAGAAAATAAATGAAGTCCATACCAATTTTATAAATGGAAATTATAGGGAATTGTTGATAAGTTTGGTTGTCCTTGCCAAAGGTTGTTAACAATCAACAGAGAATACAATTTCTTTATGTAAATGGAGACAAGGGTCCATAATAAAAACAATTACTCAAAAGCCATTGCTTAAATAAAGAAAAGCCAGTCTGGACTATGTATGTTGTGCATAATAATACCATTATGAGAAATATGGTATTAATTAATTAAATTGTAATTAAAATACATACATACCTTCATATGCATAAACATATAAAATCCAAGGACAAACTCTAAAATAGACTTAAGAATGTTTTAATAGAATTGAAATGATGAGATTCACACATTTTCCATTCTGGTTCAATTACAGCTCCCTTTCCTCACTAGGGAAGAACAGATTACTTTGCTTCACCAAACATTTTATCCTGGACAGTCTCCTTTAGTGTATCCTGCTGCTTCCATCCAAATTTTACAGCTACCTATACCTATTTTTATGTCCTAAATCATAATGGGAGAGGGTGAGAATAATAGCAGAAATAAAAACCAAACCCTAACATGAGAAACCAACCCAAATTCTAGTAGGGAAATATGCTCTTGAAAAAGCTTCCTCCCCTAAGGCTACCAAAGTCCCTCCGTTGTTGCGTGCTGGGAGTTCATACAGGAATAATCCACTGCAACTACCAGTTCTCTACCCACTAACAACTCTTCCGCTCTCCTCCCTTCCTTTCCCTTCCCCTCTCCTCCCTTCCCCTCACCTCCCTTCCCTTCCTTTTCCCTTCCCTTCTCCTTCCTCTTCCCTGTATGTATCAAACATAATCAGCTCTTCTGGAAAGTTGCTAGCATGTGAAATTCCATCTCCTTCCCCAAACCTTGAACTTTTCAGAAAAAAGTAAGGATGGGAAATGAGTTGCCTGAGTGCATTGGAAGCATTCTGAAGTGCTATCCTCAGCATATTCTTGGGAGTAATAATGCAGTGGTCCCCAACCTTTTTTGTACCAGGGACCAGTTTCACGATTATTCATTCTTTGCGGCCCAGTACAAAATGATCCACGGACCGGTACCGGCATCAGCATGCATGACCAAGGCAAGGCGAGCCGAGCGACCGGCCAGCCAGCCGTCCCCCGCTTCTCCCCACCACCTTCAACTCCTCCTTTGTACCTTCTCGCGGTCGATGGGCTTTTCGGACTCTTTCTTAATCTCCTCCTGAGTAACACGAGACTCCACCGCCATCGGGATGGCTCTTTGTTCGAAGCTGCCCCCCCTTCGACAAAACAAAGGCGCGAGGATTCCTTCAGCACTCAAATGCCGCTTTCCAACCGACAACCGACAAGCTCACCCGGAAGCACTTTCTCAAGTGCCGTTGAAACAAGATGGTGGCACCCAAGCAAAGTAGGCCCTACTTTCATTCTTTGCGGCCTGGTACAAAATGATCCACAGACTGGTACTGGTCCGGGGCCTGGTGGTTGGGGAACCCTGTAATAATGTATCAAGGGCAGATTTGGAGCAACTGCCCCTTCTCGTGGTCACTCATGCCTTGTCACCTTGCATGCAAATTACTGCAATGTCCTCTACCCTCTACCCACCTAACCCAGAAGAGCACCAGTGTGGGCATTAGAGTTGTGCCTTGGTATTGAACCTCTTTGAGTTTCTGGCTACAACTTTAGTTGTCACCCCAAAAATGTTTCGTGGCACAAGGCCTGGATAGCTGAGAACCAGCCTTTCTGTCATTGTTATTGACTGTCCCCTAAGATCTGATAAAGTGGATTCATACTGTGTTTCCCTCAATCTAACAATGCCATCTGATGGAGCCTAAGAAGCAGGACTTTTGTCATGATACTTGACCACTGGAATAGCATCCTCCTAGAACAGTGTTTTTCCATCTTGGCAACTGTTAAGAACTTCTGGGACTTCAACTCCCAGAATTCCTTAGCCAGCATGCTAGCAAAAAGATGGCAGGAGACTTGTGCTTTTGAATCAAAGACAGCAAAATAGAGGGTGATACTGTGTTATCCTGCTTATCAGTTTCCCAGAGACATCTGTCTGGTTACTGCAGAAATATGAACTGCTAGGATTTTGCAGCGAGGTTTTTTTTTTTAAGTACAAAGTAATCAAAAACCACTAAACCTTTCTCCATCTTTTCCTATAGCAGAGAGACAAAAGACTGTGTAGCAATTAAACCAGAAGACAAATTCACATGCAGACTTACAAATCGGGATGCTGAATTTTTATAAAGCCAAATCCCTGATCCATCTAGCTTAGCACTTTCTACGTTGGCAGTTTTCCCAATACCATTTTAGATCATTGCCCTCAGTCTTAACTGAATCTGGGACATTTTCCATGCAAACTGTGAAGTCCACTATTAAATTACAGCCTCCCACATTTCTTGCTTTTAAGGCTGAAGTTCTGGGGAAGAGAACAGAAATCGGTCCCATATCATGCAGAGATGCTGCATGAAGACCAGCCTCTAGAACTGTGGACACATGGCCAATGTTAATCAAAGGCAGCCCGTCTTTCTGGATTTAGGGTCATGTCCCCTTTTGCTCCTGCAGAGTGTTCAGTGATCAAGTGTAGGAAAGGGGATAAATGGAAAAGGGAAATAATGTTTCCAAAGAATGCAAATGGGTTCTAAGTTAGCCAAACAGAAGATAGAGTAAGATTGGGAGATTCTCCTCAGAGCTGCATTCAAAACAGAACTTATTTGGCAGCAATGTTGCTACTATTTAGCAGGGAATGAACAGGAGCAAATAACTTAATCTCATTATGCCAGATCTGTTCCAAAATAGTTCCCCCCTCCAAACAAAGTACAATTTGCATTTCTCGCTAAATATATTTGTGTGAGAGAGAAAGACAACCTGGAAAAATACTATCTGAACTGCTGATGTTATGACACAGAAGGAGGAGAAAAAGCAGTCACTTGGATTGATTAAATTGAGCCTTAGAGCTATTTCCCACATCCTGCATAGATTTCCCAAGTCAGATTACAAAGCAGGCAAAACCACTGCCCAGCCACTTACCAAGGTTACTGCAAAATTCGCCCACCATTCCATCCGGATTAGCTGTGGGAATCTGGGTGAGTCCAGTCAGGATAAGAACATCACTGTTCTTAAGAGAAGCCTGGTCCATGGGCTGAAAGGCGAATTTGAGAAAAATCATTTGTTTAATAAATGGACAGTGCTGTCCACCTTAAGCAGAAGGTAAAGAAAAAACCATAGAAACACAATAAACAAATAGAATTCATTAAAGAAAACCTAACAAGGGCCCTTGAAAATTGCTCTAATAACATATACTTGCTATATACATACATCATCCTATATAAGCATCAAGGCCCCAATGATTGAGGCCATAGTCTTCCAGAAGGCTAATGGGGTCAGAATCATCCAAATCTTGGAGGGTGGGGGGGAGGTTTCATCAGGTTGTTCCACCAAAGTGACCCAAAAGCACTTTGCCACTGTCAGGGTTCCAAGTAATACGCCCACAGCAAACAAAACTCTGAGGCAGGTGGGTTCCTCAAAGAATAGTTTTATTGGACACATTGTATTGGCACAGGCTGGTGAAAACTGGCTCTAAATGTTCCTGCAGTTTTCACCTTAATTAAAAGTTTTTCCCCTTTCCCAAACAATCAGACACATGGTCCAATCAAGGCATCATCCGGTTGCCTGGTAACATCACTCCACCTGTGGGAATGTCCTTGGTTCCCAAGAGAAAGTAGTTTGGTTTGGCTACAAAACCCCAGTTATTTTTATTCTCCCCGTCCTTATCCCTCAGCTCTAGTGTGGGAACACTGAAGCCTCAAAATGGCTTTGGTCAGGCCAGCTTCAGGGTTGACAGCCACATCTGTAGAACAAACAAAAACTATTGGGGATAGGCCACCCTACAAATATTTCATGAGAAGCAATAGTTAGGCAAGTACGTTATAAGATGTGCCTTATTTGTGGTGGCTTCAGGGAGTTTACAAAAGATCACCCTTTAGTAGAGAGTTCTACAACTTCACCAAGCAGATTTGCATGCAGCCTCAGAGTTCGTCCAAAAGCTAATGCTGAATTATATATTGATTGAATTATAGAAAAGAGAAATTATTAAAGGCAGCAAAGCAATCATATTCACTTTTCATTACATTTACATTTACTAATTGCCTGGCTCTATCCCCATTTTAAAGGGCAGTTCCGTACATGCTACTCAAATGCCAATACACCTTATAGTTATCCTAAAGACATTGTAGACTCTGGATTTGCTAGTTTTGAAGTTGACAATGAACTTCTGTCTTGCAAATATATTGAGCTAGTTGACTATACACATACAAAAAATGTATTTTCAACTCCAAATAACAAAGCACATGATAAGGAACCAGAGTCCAAGAAATATGTGTCATATAGATGTGATGTTTAGTTACAACTCTTCTTGTTGAGTGTATCTTAGGAACTAATATTTTTTTTAATCTTCTCAGATATACCTCTACCTTGTCTTGGCTTTGAGGAACAAACTGGATGTAAGATACCAACTATTTATTGCAGCTGCCAGCAACAACTAGCCTCCTGCCTATATATACCTTGCCAGTATATGTGGTTCTTAAATGCTGACAAATGTCTCCTGGATAATTCTGTCTATGCTGTTTCAAAAGGTATCTCTGTCCCAATGATGGAAGGTTGGGCAAAAGCCAACAATAAACAAACAGTGCGACATAGTGGATGGACAAAAAGTACTTAAGAGCCACTTTCTAAAAACTAACACACAACAAAATGCAGTAGCCATGGGATGCTTGTCAAATGAAAATGCCAATAAACCAGTAAAAGTATCATTGAATTGGCTGTGGGAAATACACATAATGGTCATGCAGGATTCAATAGTCATAATTTCATCTTCTATTGACCCAAGGTGCTACTATTGATTCCCGGAGTCAACCTTCAAAATAATATACTTTAAAAGACTTTTGACAAATCTTCTGGGCTGCCCTAACTCCTTCCCCTGCCATTATCAGCTCCAATTTTGCTTTCTAAGTCAAGAGTCAATTTTCATAAGTTATTGTTGCTGGGAGTTGTATTGAGGCAAAGTGTCCTTGTAGAAACTGCTCGTTTCAAATTTCAACCAGAAAACATCTTACGAGTTTCAGTCATTCTGAAGCAAGATAAAACTTTCTGATAGGAAGGGCTCAAAATTGATCAGCCTATCAAACAGTGAGCATCTTGATGCTCCCAGAAAGCTGAAGTCAACAGTCTTCTCGGGAATATGATTCTACAGTATACTTTTGTCTATTTAGCTATAATTCTTGTGAAATTCAAGCTGCAAGTGCCATTTGCTTAGGGTAGACCAAAAAGACTTCTTCTCCTTTCAACCCCATGCACAAGACATATGAGAACATTTCCAGGAACTCCAGAGTCCCAGGACTGAGAGAGGTCACTTGCAAATTTAAATAGTCTTGCCTTCAGAAGTTGTGGGTGCTCCATCACTAGAGGCTTTTAAGAAGTGATTGGACAGCCATTTGTCTGAAATGGTATAGGGCAGTGGTCACCAACTGGTGGGCGAGGGACCACTGGTGGTCCGCAAGAAAATTTCAGTGGTCCACAGAGAAATGTTATCGTCCCCAAGTACTCCCCCCAAAAACAATTAATCCAGGCTGCGCGGAAACATAAGGCTGTGTTGCCCACATGGCCCACCCACCCACTGGCTCCCACCCTTCAGCCAAGCGCAAATCTTACCTTGAGTAGAGCCACGCAAGTCGGAACTGGAAGGTAAGACTAACGGCGGGGGACAGAAATCCATCCCGGGGTGGCTTGCTGACATTAGTGGGAAAGTCGGTCCCATATTCCAGAGCTGCAGTAGTCACAAGACTGGCCCTTTGATCATCCCGGAGCAGCTCCTCCAGTCCCTGGCAGGCCGGCGCACCTGGGTGGAGGAGCAGCTGCTCTGGGATGACCAAAGGGCCAGTCCTGTGACTACTTCTGGAATATGGGACTGACTTTCCCACCAACAAGCCACCATCAGTCAAAATTCATATTAGTGGTCCGTATGATTTAAAATTATGAGTTTGGTGGTCTCTGAGGTCTGAAAGGTTTGTGACCCCTGGTATAGGGGTTCCTGCTTGAGCAGGGGGTTGGACTGGAAGACCTCCAAGGTCCCCTCCAACTCTCCTATTCTGTTAAATTCCATATTGGGAAGATGCAACAAGTTTCAGAAGAAAATCCTACAAGAATTCTGAACAGTCCAATGAGATCCCGGGGTACTGATATAGAATGCTTGGGGTGGGGGAGGAAGGACCCCAAGGGGGAGGAGTATTCAAATACTTTGCACTTTGTATTCTGCCGCAATTTGACAGAGTTTGTCTCAGGCTTGTTTTTTCAAAGGCAGTATATGGTTAGAGTCTCCTAACATTGCTTTATTTCTCTTGAAAGTCATATAAGGCAATGACAAATTTGGCTATCATCCTTTCAAAAAAGGATATTTCCAACAGTGATATCAATGAAGCCTGGCATCAGTCTTGTTGGAAAATATGCTGCATTCAATCCCCCTTTTTTTTAAATACCTGAGGACAGGGAAATCTTTAACATTTAAACAGAGAAGCTAACAATAAGTAGGAGGCTTACAGTAAACCATGTTAGATTGTTACTGTATGACTCATTTATAGTGCCTAGCAATAAGCATATAATACACATTAAAAACATTAGCTTGCAGCAAGCATGGACAATCTGATGTCTGTAGGCATTTGAGTCTACAACTCCATGTCAACCCTGGTCACCGCAGCTAGTGATTGAAGAATATGGCAACTGTAATCCAAAACATCTAAAAGAGAAGATTTCCAATTTTTGCTTTACTTCTTAGTTATTTGTGTTGCTCTTTTCTGCATCTTTACCAGCTCTAAATATCCTTTCTCAAATGCAGTGATTAGAACTGTGAAAACTATTCTAGCTGTGATCACATAGAGGAAAGTTGGCAGTAGCAGCCTTAGTTTTGATTCTATTCCTAATCATTTCCAACATGGATGATTCCACCCCCCCTCCAACAGGAGACACACATGAAGTCCATTTGGCCACCGCAACCTTAGGAATCCTTCAGTACAGTCGCTACCAGCTCATAAAATCTCCACAGCATAAGTAAAGTTGGGATATTTTCTTGTTCCAGCCTCAGCATGCATCATGTTTATTTTAATACAGGTAGTCCTCCACTTACAACAGTTCATTTAGTGACCGTTCAACATTACAACATCACTGAAACATGTAACACCCCCACGGTCATGTGATTTGCGTTTGGATGCTTGATAACTGATGCACATTTATGACAGTTGCAATGTCCCGGAATCAGGTGGTCCCTTTTGCAACCTTCTGATGAGCAAAGTCAATGGGGAAAACCAGATTCACTTAACAACCATATTATTAATTTAACAGTTGCAGTGATTTGCTTAACAAATGTGGCAAGAAAAATCATAAAATGGGGCAAAACTCACTTAACAAATTTCTCACTTAACAACATAAATTTTGGGTGCATAGTCCTTTGATGTTCCTTTTACAGAGAGATTTGGAAAAAAAACGTATCCTTCCAATAATTGCTACATATCCTGACTGTTTCGACACTGCTTGTCTCCCAGGGGCTGCAGTTTCTGGATAGTGAAGTGTGTTGTGATTATGTGTTAGCAGTAAAATGTTTTAGTTATGGCTGGACCTCATGCACCTCAGCTCCAGCCATAGCTGGTATGGGAACTGGTTAATTGGGGAGATATTAGTTGCAAAAGCTTTTATGTAGATGCTAAATATGACACCATAGGAACAGAGTCTTCCTGTGGCTCGGGAGAGGTGGAGACTGTGGGTCACATAGTCCTTCGATGTTACTTTTACACAGAGATTAGGAAAAAACATATTCTGCCAACAATTGCTCGGTATCCTGACTGTTTTCAACACTGTTTATCTCCAGTGGCTGCTTAAGGATGAACAGTCCATAACTACACCGCAGGTGGCTAGATTCTGCGCAGCAGCACTGGAGATTCGCTGGAAACACGTGTCTAATCCACCATAGTTATTTTATACAACAAATGTGGCAAACCCTTTGCACTGCTTATTCCTTTTAGTATTAAACTGACAACGGGCCACCCAGTTTATGGATTGCAATTTTAGTAGAGTTAGACCATGTATAATTAACTGTCAGACTGGATTTTATCACAGATTTTAGTAGTTATTTATTTTACACTAGAATTTTTAATTGTATATTTACTGAGTGTTTTTATTTGTTCTGGTCTCTGGTCTATGACCATAATAAACTGAATTGAAATTGAATTTTGGGTTCAATTGTGGTTGTAAGTTGAGGATTACCTGTACATGCATTTGTTTCAATTCATGTCCTTGAATTATTGTCATTTTACAAGTTGCCTTGAAGGCTCATACGGAGCAGCAAGGTCAGATATAACAAAACTACTTACACTACCAGCATTTCCCAACTGTAAGGCAAAGAGCAACCAATTGTCTGCTCAACACAGGACACCAGAATGGAATTCCTAACAAACCACTCCTTACCCTCTATATGCTTGCCTCCAAATGAAAGAAATCCTCTGCATATATTTTTCAAAGGGTCTCTTCCGCTGCCAGACATATTTTTAGAGTTTTTTCTAAAACATTGAGTCAAAATTTGCCTGCCTGCAATTTATTCAGAATTGATAAGCTAACTTGTAATTGCTTTGAATTCCCAAGACTTTAAAAAGGGTTTTAAACCAATCATTTCCCAGTTTTCTTATTCAGATGCTAACACCAGGAAAATGTCATGTGTTCTTGTTTTAAAAGATCAGCCACTGTATATTTGAGTTCTTGGATGGATACTATTTAGTTTGATATTGATTTCAGTCTGTGAATATGGCCTAACCAGTGTTTTCAAACAAGGCAACTTTTAAGATGTGCGGATTTCAACTCCCAGAATTCTCCAACCAGCCTACTGGGGAATTCTGGGAGTTGAAGTCTACATATCCTAAAGATGCCAAGTTCAAAAAACACTGATTTAGAATTTTCTACCTTGTTCCTAAATATTTGCTTTGCTCCTCAGACACGCCTCCTAAAAACATTAGTTAAGACAGATATATTTACCTTATATTTTTCTTCTACAATGAAGACAAAAGCAAATAATTAATTCAGTTTCCTTGCTAGGCTATTTTTCTTTTTGGTACTATACCTTGCCAGTTGCTTATTTGTGATATTCTAAAATAAATGTTTACCAGTTGGTCCTAACATTATTAACATCACACTTCCCAACACCAAGCACCTGCCTCATTGTCTCACAGCATTGTTTACATTCCTTTTAGTACTTCTTGTCTGGGAATAACTTTGTTTTCTGAAGGACACCATTTCCCCCCAAAAAACTTTCCTGAAAGTTCTTGGTAAGTATACTTAATGTCTTTTCTGGCCTGTAGAATATTTTTAAATGAATTTTTATTGTCACAGTTTTAAGCAACTGTTAAGTAATTTAGGAAGCCTTTGCTTCCTTTTTCTATCCCCTTTTTAGCAATCCATCTTAGCAGAAATTCCTCTTTTGAAATCAAACTAAGCTATGTTGGACATACAGATTTTCTTTTCCATAGCTTTAAATAAGGAGCATTCCCCCTTAGAATATGAAAGGAGCTTATAATTGAATTTTCTTGATGTAAAAGCATAAGGAGCAAATACATCTTATTGCTGATTCCTTAGTACAATTTAGTGTATAGGTCATCCTTTGGCATATCGTGGCAAGGCATTCATTCTCCTTTGCCACAACTCTTGTTAAGCCTACTAGAGGGTTATGTCTACAACAACCTGATTTTAACTTTTGATTCATCTGAATTTTGAATGAGGCGTTTATGTACAGAAAGTGAGGGGCGTCTCTCAATTTATGGGAAAAGCAAAGGCTTTATGTATTGTATATATATCAAAGCAGATCTACTGTACAGTATATAAAAACTTTCACTCCTTATTCAGGCCATATGCCCCTTTCATAATCAATGAATTCCCAACCTGGGGTGCTCGCACACCCTGAGGGTGTGGGACCATATTCTAGGGAGTGCAAAAACGTGGGTTTAAAAGTTTCAAAATTATAGTGTAAATGTATAATTATATGCATATAATTATTTATTTTTATAAGGGGCGTGAGAATATATCAGGAGTGTTCCAGGAGTGCGGGGTCTAGAAAAGGTTGGGAACCCCTGGATTAGAAGGATACTTAAAATGATAGCAAGGAGTTGCTCCTTTCATTCCCTCTTCAACCAAAGAGTTTCCATTGCTGAAGAGATACATAACCTCACTGTATCTATCCAGGTTTGGATTCTAATTGGAGTTCCCTTTGTAGAGTAGGACTTCCTTGTCTTCCATTTTTCTTCCTACTGCAGATCTCTGCACTTCATCAGAAACTCATGCAGGTGATTGGAGATTCTTGATAATTATTTGTTCAGTATGCTGATGGCTGCAGTTCAAGAAAGCAGCAGCATAAATTCTGCATAAATCCATGCAGAAATCAAAATGGCCGTCTCCCTCTCCATAAACTGAACCTGATTTAGGATATTGAAAAGGTATTGTGTGTGATAACCCTTATATAACGATCAAATAAGATAGCAGGGTGATAGGAGCCAACAGGATTGGAGGGGTCCAGGGACTGGATCCAGGGTCCTCAAATCTAACTCTTGCACCCATTTTTATAGGCTCTTAACCTGATTGAACAAAGCAAGGGACTACAGTCAGGGTAAAAGTGAAATTGATGGAATCCAGGGCTGCACCTATGAAAATAGATAATCAATGACGAAGAACGCAAAGAACGGGGCTAGAATCCTTCCAGCAATGTCAACCCCAAGCAAGCTGAGCTTCTCCAATCCATGCAGAATATTGCCCCACAGGTAGGAAAATAGGGGAATTGCCATATGCCTACTATTTAAATCCAATCAACACAAACCACTGAAAAAGAGGAATGTCACCACCACACTCTTCAAAGATGTGGTACCTGTGGATGAGTTGTCAGGAGTGAGGATCCTGAGACATAGGAAACCTTCTCATAATGTGACTGGATGATCCAATTGGAGCTGCCCAGTGCATATCCAGAACTGAGAGGAGAGACCTGTACTGCACCAAAAAGCTCCTGCAGGAGGAAGGGAGAAGGAAACAATTGAATTCTGAATGAAACTATCCCAGAAAATCAATTTCCACATGTGCTGTTCTTATAGTGAGATTATTAGCTCACTGAGCTGATCTCCATGTTCGAAGGTAAACAAATGGTGAATAACCAAGAACTGGAGAATGCTTAGGAACTATTATCTGCTTCTGATTTTCCTAGAAACGTTGGTTGGATTGCTGTGAGAACAGGATTTTGGACTTATATCTTCTTATATCTATATTTAAAGCTGCTTTCTCTTTCTTTCTACAATTAATTCAATGCTTATATTTAAGGCAGTGATATGAAAATTATTTTTTAGAAGGGATGCAGAAAAACACACAAACGTGAAAAGCATCAGCAAAAAAATGAAGTTCTTTTAAAAGACTATACAAATAGAACATCTATGGCTGGCATCCACATGGATACACAAGAATGGATACACAGGCATAACCGAGAAGGTTTGTGTGGAATTGCTTCCCAGATAAACTTGGAAGCTTTGAGCAGGAAGAAGGAATCTATGGGTATGACAGGTTTTTATTTCATTCAGATTTTAATACAGATAACAGATAACTATCCTGTGATAAAATAGATACAGGAGGAAAGAAGACAGGTACAGATTTCCTCTCCAAATCCTTTTATTAGAGAAACTCACAATTTTCTGGGAATATCCCACCAGCTGGATCTTACTGAGTGCAGAGTTAACTTCCTGCATATTGTAGCATCTTCTCCATGTTGCAACTTCGACAGCATCTTTCAGGGGTGCAGGAAGCATCCTGGAATAGAGGCACATTTAGAGAATTAGGTCTTGCTTTGCCAGTGTAATAAAATTCTGGACTCATCTGCTAAAATTCCAGATATCAAAAGGAGAGAAAAGAATGGGTTGAAGAAGAGCACTTTAGCAAGCACCTTGATTCTCAACTTGTGCCAACTTACATCTAATGAAATGAGGTGAGAGCCTAGTCTTTGTATCTCTCTAGCACGTTCTATTTTTGAGAAATTCAAAGATTAGCCATCGCTTTCACCCCGCTGCTGTCATCTCAATGCCCTGTAAGATGGAATAGCTTCATCTCAAACAGCAAGATTAGGGTTGATCCAAGGTCCATAAAGGGACGTGGTGGCTCAGTGGCTAAGATGCTGAGCTTGTGATCTGAAAGGTCGGAAGTTCAGCGGTTCGAATCCCTAGCACCACGTAACGGAGTGAGCTCTCGTTACTTGCTCCAGCTTCTGCCAACCTAGCAATTTGGAAGCATGTAAAAATGCAAGTAGAAAAACAGGGACCACTTTGGTGGGAAGGTAACAGCGTTCCGTGCGTTTAGTCAGGCTGGCTACATAACCACGGAGACATCTTCGAACAGCGCTGGCTCTTCGGCTTTGTAACAGAGATGAGCACCGCCCCCTAGAGCTGGAAACGACTAGCATGTATGTGCGAAGGGAACCTTTACCTTTAAGGTACATAGCTGAAGTGGACTGGCACTGCCAAACCCCATCTTCTGATATTATAAACCTATAGCGATCTCATTGAAACCAATCTAGTTACTGTATCCTTCATATCAGAGAGAACCTTCAATCTTGATTAGCCTACAGGTAGTTTTTGAAATAAAATGGTTTGCTGATGAGTTATGTTCCTGGCTATATTTTTATTCTTTAAGCTTCCTGCTTGGCCTTTTGCAAATGAGTGTTTATGATTGGCCATGTGAATAGATAGATCTGCTCTCTTTGACAGCTGCTCCACTCTCCAAAATCTTGATGGGCCTACCAGGAAGATTGGTGATTTCTGCACTAACTAGCAGAAAAAACATCAGTTACACTAAGCAGGCATTTTACACAAAGAAACATGCCCCTGTTGGAGGTCTCAGTGCTTTCAACTGAGAACTCTTTCAGCTATTTACAGTAATTTTCTAGGCAGCCTGACTGGAATAGGATTTGGTATACTGTTTCCAGTCTTTCTTAGAACACACCAGAAAATAGTGCTGGAGGGGCTATAGTCCAATGCTTTGATCACCAGCTTGTTCTAATCTGTGCACTTTGCGCTGCCACATCTACCTGCCAAATGGTTCCTTTGGAGCAGCAGTCGCCAACCGGTGGACCGTGGCCCACTGGGGGGCCACAAGAAAATTTTGGTGGGCCACAGAGAAATCTCACCCCCAGAGCACCCCCCCCCCAAAGCAATTAATCCAGGCTGCACAGAAACACAAGGCTGCACTGCCCACATGGCCCGCAGGAACCCTCTGCACCCACTCACTCCTTACCCAGCAAACTTGCCTGCTAAATTGCTATTTTTCCAACCATCAGCTATTCTGCCGTGCCGGGAGATTTAGATTAGCTAGGAAGCAGGAAATGGTTGGATTTCCTGGTTTCTAGCTGGTCTTTAGGACTGAAGGTTCTATTATTCAGTGCAGACTCATGGCAAGCAAATTTTATGTGACAAACTGAGCTAGCCAATGGCAGATAGATCTCTGAATGAATCTGTGATTCTGTGAGCAACTCAATCTGCCTGCCTGCTTTGCCTGATTTTGGGTAAAAGTTGCTCTTTTTATAAAAAAATTCAATAGTTATATAAATATTTATAATATTTACATACAAGCCATGCCCAGTCAGTCACATGATCGCCAAGCCACACCCACAAATTAGGCCACGCCCATAAAACCGGTTAGTGGTCCCTAGGATTTAAAATTATGAGTTTGGTGGTCCCTGACGTCCAAAAGGTTGGCAACCCCTGCTTCAGAGAAATGGAAAAGAGAGAAGAAAGTAGCGGCAGCATGCCTTTCTGCAACTGGGAGCCCTCCAACCTATCTGAGTCTGTAAACCCTCCAATTCCTGCCACCTGGAATTGTGGTCAAACTTATCTAGAAGGTAATGACACCCATAAGACACCTGGAGGGGAACCACAATTCTGTGAATTCTGTTATTATGATGACTATTTCGCTCCCTGGAAAAGCCAATGATTAAAAATACTGGGAAAGTGAGAGGAAAACATACAAGAAACAGCAAATGACAGCATTTGTAGCACATAAAAAGAATGGTTATCTCCTGGGACATAAATCTCTTGCCATACTAGGAAACCAGGCAGGAATGCAGTGAAAGCTGCCAAAGAGTGGAAGAAGGATAGGGTCCTTATTTTGTATATTAAACAGATACTAAATCAAAAGCCCATTCCAGCTCATTTCCAATGATTTATGGAAATTGGTCAAGTTTTGACAATTTGCTTATTTAAAAGAACTTAATTTATTGGGGAAGCTGTTGGGTCAATGACCTTCTTCCTATAATTTAAGACACCACAGGAAGCATTAATGATGGCTTCTGCCAAGATTGCCTGTGCACACAGTATGCAAACTGACATTCCAATATATCCCAACAGAAAGCAAGGAACATTTCGTCCTCTTCTGATTAATAACAGAAACCTAAGGAATAGAAAGACTTTTTCAAACGCACACAAAAAACATTATATCTAGCATTTTAAGCATAGCATTACAGATAAATTCATTTGCTATTTACAGAAAAATCTGGATTACTTGTCATCTGGAAATTTGAATGAAGCTCTTCTCTGGCGGTGAGGTTACATAATTATAAATGCTATGCTGATACCAACAGACTTAGCCGCGTAATTATTTCTTTCCTAATTCCAAAGGATTTATGAACCAGTTAAAAATGGAAATCTTTGGGGGATTCCAATGTTTATTTCCATCCACTGTGAAAATTGCTTCATGGACCTTATGCTCCACTTTATGACTTTTGAGAACTGCTTTTGAAGTGACTTGTTAAGGTTACTTCTTTGCTGGAGCACTGAGGGGATTTTAGTTTTAGACATCAAATCATCTCAAGAAATAAGTAACATTGGATAATTGCATATTATTAAGTATTTTCATTGTACTCATTTTTAATTCTAATTTCAGTCACGTTTTAGGCAAGGATTTAATATAGCGACAGCTTTGGTCATGCTTTTAGTTTTAGAGCTGTGACAGAGTTGGGATGGGGGTAGGTATCCATTGTGCTCCTTTCAATACATTATTGTTCTGAGCTGATTCTGTGGTTTGGGGACATCATTTTACAGTGGTGCTTTTTCCTTTCTCTGGGGCTGATTCTAGTTGGTGTCGTTTGGAGAAAGATATTTATTCTTTTCTTTGCCAGAAATACAGGATTTGAGAGCCCCAACTCTCTACCCACTAGAGTAAGGTGGGAGAACTCCAAATGAGATGTTCCCTTCAAGATAGGTGATGGCAATGAAATTTCTGCACACCACGTACATAGGCAGATATTCGTTGTATAGACCAGGGGATTAAGCAGGCTCCAACATGACTCAGTAAAAGATGCAGGGTAATCTGTGTCAAGATTCATGGCATATACATTCAACAGCTTTGAAATTGAGAAGTATCTACTCAATTTTGATATAGAAGTTCATTCTTGCCTGGGAATTGCTGATTCTTGCCTCACCAAGTACTCTGCTCTAATTTCACCACCTCAACAGTATTCTGCCTTGTCTAAAATCTCACGGGAACTAGACTCCTGTCACATATTTGGTGTGTTCTTATTTGGTAAAATTAAGTCATACCTGGTTAAGTGGAGCTTACAAATCAAGACTTTGGACACCACATTGAAGGCAGCAGTATCTTTTCATGAAGAGAGTTGGTGTTTCACCAAAGGATTATAACATCACATAATAATATAATAAGGGTTAATTATGCAACTGACTCTGGTATTCAAATTTCTCAATTCCTGTTGGATATTGATTAGAGTCTCCATGAAAATTTTTCAATTTTAGGACTATCTGAGGATAGAAATATGACAGTACCATTTAACATTGATGGGAGACCAACATCTTCAGAAGGGACAGAAGATTATCCTAAGAATTCTGACTGAGTTACAGAAATTTGTTACTTGTTACCATTCAGCTTTCTTTCTGTTGCTTTAGTTCAGATCCCAAGAAAATATCTTCCGGTTCTATCATCCAATGTCCATTTCCTATTTTCCCTTTACTTGCCTTTCAAACGGTCTAGACTTTCTTTGCAGGGAAAAAACAACAGCAATAGCACTTAGACCTATATACCACTCCATACAGCACTGTCTAAACCGTTTACAGAGTCAGCATACTGACCCCAACAACATCATTTTATGAGCTCGGAAAGATGGAAGACTCAGTCAACCTTGAACTGACAGGATCAAACTCCAGACAATGGGCAGAATTAGCCTGCAATACTGCATTCTAACTACCGTGCCACCAGGGCTCGTCTTCCTGATGAACTTTTTCCACTGATATAATTCCTTGTGTGTGGCTAGTCAAGTGACCAATCCTGCACTTAAGTAACATCCCAATGTGTCCCCTTTGGCTTTCCAACAAATCTCTCCAACATTTATAGAGAATGTGCCATTATTGAAGAAGGGGAGTGAAAAGCATTACCTTTATTATAATCCATTATGACACCATTTGATTTACAAAGCCTCTATGGGGTTTGATGCTGTCAGCAGTTGGCTCATGTTGCACAGAGTAATGGGGTGGAAACATAAACTATTCCGGTGCACTTAGTATATTTTTCTGCAAAGCATTTTTCCCAAGAACTCCAAAGCTTATAGCTTTACCAATAAAGATAGCAACTCAATTGTATGCAGCCTATTTAGGACTGAAGCAGCTAAGCTGCACCTCATCTTGCAATAAACACTCTTGACAGTTATGAGAGCCAGAGAGTATGGCAGCCTAGCACAGTCACCACAACTAACTGAAAACAAAAAGAACAACATGTTAAGGTTGTATTTTATAGACATCATTGCCCTCAGGAAA